TGAGATATTTGCCCATCCCTAGACCAGAGTCTACAATTATATAACTGCCCTACTGGTTTTAATTTTCAAACAGAACAAAAATTGCTCCGATTCCTGTTCAGCCAGAACCACAAAGCGACTCGGAAGCTGCTTGAGCATTTTCTCGCACTTTCTCCTCTCGTTCACCAGAGACCAGCTGTGGTTTTGCAGCATCCTCTCTCTCCTGTGTGGCTTCTTTCGGCTCTCGCTCTGCAAGATGCCTTTTGGCCCTTCGCAGTCGCTGCAGAACCAGATTATCATAGCAGGTTTTGAGCTGCTTCCAAGAAGGGGCAGCGAGTGATTGGTATTGTCTCTCCCTACCGGATCTTGGCACGACTAGCCTGCTCATCAAGGGAGGGAGCTCAGGAGCTGAGTCATGGTATCAGGTTTATGGAGAGCATCAGCTGCAAAGCATCTCAATGGGGCCTGAGAGCAGGGAGGAGGGAAGCAGAAAGCAGGGAAATGTCTCACTGAGAATACTGTGCCGCTGCCCAGGGGATGTGGCTTTGGTGCCTGCTGAAACGCATGTTGAAAGGGCCTGTTCCTTGAATGCAGACTAACATTACCTTCCCGATGCCCAGGCTCTGCATGTGACTGAAGAGGACACTGCTAGGGTGCAAAGGGCCTTGGTGCCTTCACGGACCATACAGCAGCTTCCTTTATTCCCTGTTAGGTTGATGGCAGAATTGGGAAATGTTATGTCAAAGGACTGCACAGGACACTCAGCTACAGGTAGGTTAGTGCTGCGGTTCTGAGCTCATTTACTGAAGCAGCCTCTCCCAACCTGGTGCCTTCCAGCAGTGTTGGACTACAACTCCCATCAACCCCAGCCAGCGGCTGAGATTGATGGCCATCCTAAACAGCTGGAGGGCAGCAAGTTGGGGAGTTAAAGCTATGGTTTTCCCAGTAGTGATGTTTGGAAGTGAGAGCTGGACCATAAAGAAGGCTGATTGCCGAAGAATGGATGCTTTTGAATTCTGGTGCTGGAGGAGACTCTTGAGAGTCCCATGGACTGCAAGAAGATCAAACCTCTCCATTCTTGAGGAAATCAGCCCTGAGGGCTCACTGGAAGGACAGATCCTGAAGCTGAGGCTCCAAGACTTTGGCCACCTCAGGAGAAGAGAAGACTCCCTGGAAAAGACCCTGATGTTGGGAAAGATGGAGGGCATAAGGAGAAGGGGACGACAGAGGACGAGATGGTTGGACAGTGTTCTCGAAGCTACCAGCATGAGTTTGACCAAACTGCGGGAGGCAGTGGAAGACAGGAGTGCCTGGCGTGCTCTGGTCCAGGGGGTCACGAAGAGTCGGACACGACTAAACGACTAAACAACAACAACTACTCTAGGAAGAAAACAGGCTTAGGACCAGGTTTCCTCAACCTCGGCCCTCCAGATGTTTTTGGCCTACAACTCCCGTGATCCCTAGCTAGCAGGACCAGTGGGCAGGGATGATGGGAATTGTAGTCTAAAAACATTTGGAGGGCTGAGGTTGAGGAAGCCTGCTTAGGACAATGCTGCTGCTCTGGAAGTGCAAGAGATGGAAGCTAGCTGAGGCTTCTCCTCTAGGGAGGCTAAAAAAAACAACAGGGGTGGAGGGCTTGAGGCCCTCCAGATATTGTTATAAGCCTACAACTCTCACCGTCTCTTGCTGTTATGGCTACCAATGGCCAGGGATGATGGAAGTCGGGAGCCCAGAAGCATTGGGAGGGCCACAGGTTCCCCACCCCTGCTTTAGAGTCTAATCTCAGTCTAAATCTCAGTGTGAATTGACAAAATACCCTCAGCCACACTTGCCGCTTACAGGACAGGGTGCCCTGACAGCATCACCTGCTGATCTCATCCCACACTTCCCCCAGCTGCCCAGCACTGGGAGGCCACTGCTGTAATTTCCCACAATGCCCTTGGGTGATGGGCATGGAGTGGCCTGGTGAGAAATTCGAAGGGTGGCTACTTGGATCTGCCGACTGGAGCCTGCTTGGGACGTGTGTGCGCTGAGAGATTCTTGAGGTCTGTGACTGTGAAGACAGGGGGAAATATCGCTTTTGTCTGGTGCGTGTGATTGGGTAAGGTGCCTTTCAGGGAAGCTTGCCCTGGGTGGTGACGAATGGCCAACATTTCCTGACACTTGCTTTAAAAACGTTTCTGCCAGCCCAGTCCTTCTGAGGGAATATAGGAGGTAGCCTTATATCAGCATTTGTCCACCTAACCCAAATTCTTATTATTATTTAAAAGCATGTATAAATTGCTTAATATTGTTACACACCACCTCAGTGTCTGAGTTGTGAGAGGGTTAAGGGGTTCCAGGCATTTACCCAGGGTTTGGTTTCCTTGGAATGAAGGTCAGTGGAGACTGTTGTGCCCTTAGGATATATGGTTTTATTTATGCATATATACGCCTGGATCAAGGGACGCGGGTGGCGCTGTGGGTTAAACCACAGAGCCTAGGACTTGATAGTCACCTTCAGATATCTCAAGGGCTGTCAAATGGAAGGTGGAGCAAGCTTGGTTTCTTTTAAAAAACTTTTTATTGATTTGTTAGAACAAAGTGCAAATAAGGGACGCAGGTGGCACTGTGGGTTAAACCACAGAGCCTAGGACTTGCTGATCATAAGGTTGGTGGTTCGAATCCCCGCAACAGGGTGAGCTCCTGTTGCTCGGTCCCAGCTCCTGCCAACCTAGCAGTTCAAAAGCACGTCCAGGTGCAAGTAGATAAATAGGTACCGCTCCAGCGGGAAGCTAAACGGCGTTTCCGTGCGCTGCTCTGGTTCGCCAGAAGCAGCTTAGTCCTGCTGACCACATGACCTGGAAGCTGTACACCGGCTCCCTCAGCCAGTAAAGTGAGATGAGCGCCGCAACCCCAGAGTCGGCCACGACTGGACCTAATAATGGTCAGGGGTCCCTTTACCTTTTTTTACACTTGGATCATAAGATGAGGGGGGGGCTCACAGCATTAACACCCCTACAGAGCTTGATTCTCCATTAGTCATAGCTCTGGATCCAGCACAGAGCAAGGATCCTTATTATCATCATCATCGTACAGTCGTACATCAGGTTACATACGCTTCAGGTTACATACGCTTCAGGTTACAGACTCCACTAACCCAGGAATAGTACCTCGGGTTAAGAACTTTCCTTCAGGATGAGAACAGAAATCGTGCTCCGGTGGCGCAGCGGCAGCAGGAGGCCCCATTAGCTAAAGTGGTGCTTCAGGTTAAGAACAGTTTCAGGTTAAGAACGGACCTCCGGAACGAATTAAGTACTTAACCCGAGGTACCACTGTATTTGTATGCCGCCTTTCCATAATTAAAACAACACTCAAGTCGGCTTAAAACCCGACGATAATTTCAAACAAAAGTGCCCTGGTACTTGATCTTAGAAAGTAGGCCCTGAACATCATTTGCCTCCAGGGCGCCCAACATGGTAGCCAAGTGGCAGATCTGGAACTGAGAGGGAAACTGGCCAGGTGTTTCTGACGTGTTTCCTGGAATTGTGACAAGCAGGGTGGCAGGGAAGGACCAACTGTGCCCGCTGGTTTCAGGGCACAAACAAACACGCACTTGCTCCGTCGTCTTTGTCTCCACCGTTTGGTTCACGGAGGAGGAGAATAGCTTTAATGGAAAGGCAAATCCCTTAATCTTCTCCAGATACAAATCAGCTGAACAGAGCCCCAGCTAAAGGACAGAGAATATCCTACAGGGCAGGGCATGCACTGTCTATCCTGTTCCTTATTTAATCAGCTGTTGCCGTATTTATAAAGGGTGACTCGAGGCTGCCCAGCTACAGCCCCTCTTGTCAGGCTCCGAATCTAGCCCTGGCTTCATCTGCTGCATCATTGCGGGCCTCAGATGGTGTGTAATGTCTCAAAAAGGGGTTTTTTTGGGGGGGGGTGGAGTTGCCTGCGAGCCACACCACCTAAGGCAGTGGTTCCCAAATGGGTGTTGGGATTACCTGGGGTGCGGGGTGTCTGCAAGAGGTAATGGAGTATCTGGAGGTGCAGATGCACAGCTGTCAACGTTTCCCTTTTTTAAAGGGAAATTCCCTTATTCCGAATAGGATTCCTCGCAAGAAAAAAGGGAAAAGCTGACAGCTATGTGCAGATGACTGTTGGACTTTGAAAAGCTGGTATCACTGGATCAAGTGCATCCATTTTGTTGAATTGATTAAACTTGATTTCAATTGGATTTTGAACAAATGTACAATTGATTGCGAATTTTATTGTGTTGTTATCTTCCTTCGTAGGTTGTGTGACTGGCTGTTTTGAATTTTTCTTTTTTTATAGGGTAGGGGGCACTGAGGATGAGTTTACGGACAACCTGAAAATGTTTGGGATCACCACTGATCTAAGGTGTCTGGAAGCGCTTTCCCCTTATTCCAGAGGCATGGTGATAAGCTATGCTTCTTTACAGTGTTGAAGACAAGGCACTCTACATATGCTTAAAAGTGCCAATTAAAAAAAAAGCAAATTATTGCACAGTGGGGCCCGAAACACTGCAAATAGGTTCTGACGCCTAAGCTCAGATCGTATGTAGAGAAGGAAATCCACTTCCACACTCAGTCTGGGAGGTGGTGGATCCAGGATGGGGTTGGAAACCCTTTTGGCTCCACAGGCTAGAACCGTGGTTCCCAACGTGGGGCACCGCCCCCACACAGAGGGGCAATTTGATTTTTAAGGGGGGGCAATTTGAGAATGAGTCATTAACAGTGAGTGGCCTTTTAGGCTACCTCCACGTGAATAGGAGTTCACTTTTCAAATAATAATAATGGGGGGGGGGGAAATCAGGATTTTAGAGATGCTTAGGTGGGGCATGGCCAAAAAAAGGCTAGATCCTTAGCAGGAACTAATTTTAAGATGTATTTTAATTAACTGATTGCCTGTTTTTATGTTCTTTGTATACTGTGTTAGTTTTATGATGTTAGCTGCCCTGAGCCCGGCTCCAGCCAGGGAAGGCGGGGTACAAATAAAAATTTATTATTATTATTATTAGGAATGACTTGCCCACCTGCAAGTCACGTGATGTAACTGTGACATCACATGACTCGCAGGTGGCCGTAGACATGGGAGAAGCCTGGGTTGTACAGTTGGAAGGGACCCTGAGGATCATCTAGTCCAACCCCAGAATCTTTTTGCCCGGCTCGAACCCACGACCTTGAGATTGAAAGAGGAAATCCCAAGAAATCCCAACTTCAATGGAGTGGCAGACAAAAATGTTTGAATACATAGAATTGGCAAAATTGACCTATAAGATTCGGAACCAAAAAGAAGCAAAGTTTGAAAAGGATTGGGGTAAATTTGTTGAATATATACGGAGTAATTGTAAGAATTTAAAAACTGCAGCAGGATTAATGTAAATCTTGTGATGTGGATAGAGTGTAAATAAGAAACTGTAAGAAAAGATTTGAGATATGAAAACCGTTGAAGGGATGGAAGGAAGTCCGGGTGCAATAAGGCGCAGGGTAAATAAGAAGACATACAAATTTTTGAATGTAAGAGTATTTGTCGTTGTTACAAAAAAGCAATAAAAAGTATTTGGGAAAAAAAGAGATTGAAAGAGCCTCACACTCTAGGCACTGAGATGTTTCCCAAAGGATATTTGCAAGGTCAAACTCTTTTGCCCTTCTCCCACTTTAAACTCCTGATTCCTGCTTTACACCATTACCTGAAGGAGTCGGCGCCTTGCTCCAAAGTAGACGTGGCTTGAATCTCAACTCTGCTCCTCAGGCTGGCCTACCTCACAAGGTGGTTGTTGTTGTTGAGATGCAACACGTGCCACCTTGAGCTCCTTGGAGTAAAGAAAGACATGAGAGAAATTATTTTTAAAACACACGAATTTCTTAACTTAACCTATGTTAAGTTAAATTAACTGAAAACAGCTTGCAGCTACTTAATTGCCTTAGGATTTTATTTATGTTAAGTGATGAATTAATACGTTTATTTTCATAATGCGAAGATGTAAGGATGTTAATGTTTAAGTTAAGTTTTATAAGAACTGTGATTTGGAAAACCGTTAAGCAATGAAATTCAAGCAAGGGGAAGCGAGGAAGTCACTTAACATGGTTAATAAGTGTAATTGTCAATAAGGCTATGATTTATGTTTGTTTGTCTGTTTATAATGTTGTGAAAACCAATAAAAAAATTTTGAGAAAAAAAGAAAAAAAAAGAAATACACGTACATGCGAGAATTTTTTTAAAAAACACAAATTTCTTCTCCGCCTCAGGCGCCGGCCCCGCCCTTCCCCCCACCCCTCACAACAACTGTCCCGCGCGCCTCCCAAACTTGCTCCCTTTCCATTTTGCCGCCGCGCGCGCCTGCCCCGTCCCCGCCCCTCCCGCCGCCATTGGCCGCGAGACGGGCGCAGGCGAGCCGCCATTGGCCGACTACGAAAGAGGAGCCCGCCTTCCCGCCAGCATGCTCGGGAGTCGCGTGGGTCGAGTCCTGAGGCGGCTGAGGCGGCGCCCAGCCCGAGGCCGCCACTCCTCCTTCCCGGCCCCGTGCGCGCTCCCGCTCGCTCGCTCGTGCACACGGCTCCGCCTTCTTCCTGCCTTCCTCCTCCTCCTCCTCCTCCTCCCGGCCGGGCTCGCTGAAGGGGACGGGCGGGCGAAGGCAGTCGCAGGAGGGACCGCATTCGCCGGGTGGCGGACACCCCACCCCACCCCCGGCTCGGTAAGGGGCGAGAGTGTGTGGAGGGGGACACGGCTGGCTGGCTGGGGGGGGGGACGGTCAGTTGGTTGAGGGTCTCCTTGAGAGGGTCAGGGCTTGGGAGCGGGGAGGAAGGGGTTAATTGGGAGGGTTTCCCCCCGGGGGGGGGACAGCAGGGGTGCTTGGATTTTGGAGGGGGGCGCTGCGCACTAGGAAAGAAGGGGTTAACTTGTGGAGGATGTTTCCTTAGGGAGGGGGCAATTTGGGGAGGGGAGAGGTCGGAGCGGCAAAGGGTTAATAGTGGGGGCCGTGGGGAGGAAGGGGTTAATTGGGGTGTGTTCCCCCGCGAAGGAGCAGCAGGGGCGCTTGGGCTTTGGAGGGGGGCGCTACGCACTAGGATGGAAGGGGTTAAGTTGTGGGGGATGTTTCCTTAGGGAGGGGGCAATTTGGGGAGGGGAGAGGTCGGAGCAACAAAGGGTTAATAGTGGGGGGCCGTGGGGAGGAAGGGGTTAATTGGGGGGTCCCCACCGAGGGGGCAGCAGGGGTGCTTGGACTTTGGAGGGGGGCGCTACGCACTAGGATGGAAGGGGTTAAGTTGTGGGGGATGTTTCCTTAGGGAGGGGGCAATTTGGGGAGGGGAGAGGTCGGAGCAGCAAAGGGTTAATAGTGGGGGGCGGTGGGGAGGAAGCGGTTAAAGCGGGGGAGAGGGAAGCAGGAAGGGGCTAAGTTGGGGTGCCTTCAAGGAGGGGGGAGCATGGAGAGGGGGAGGACAGGGCGGGGCCAATTGGGGGGGTCCCTTGGGTGGGGTGTCAGGGATGGGTTAGTTGTGGGGTGGCCAGGAGTGTCCCTTCGGGGGGCGGGCACTTTTTCCAGGGACGGGCGCGCGCGAGGTGGTGGTGGTGGGGTTTCCTTGCAGATGCAATGCATTGCCAACTGGGCAGTTAATTCCCTGCCACTTTGGGGGTGCAGTTATGGGGCAGGGTGTGTGTTTGTGTGGGGCGCCATCCCTCCCTTCCTGGGCCCCTGGCTTTGAGGTCTGCAGCTGCCAGGCCCCGGAGAGCAAAGCGAGGGCTGGGCATGTGCGCGCCGGGGCGCGAGGGTTTGCCAGGAATCTGCGGCGTGGCGGGCGGCGGACTTCAGCCCGGAGAGCCGGAATGTGGGGAGGTGGGGGTGGGCGGGCAGAGCCGAGGAGGGGGATCCGGGCGGGTGGGGCGCAGGAAACCGGGGTGCATGGGCGGGGTGCGCAGAGTGGGTGCCCTGGGACTCCCCGCCGCGTGCTGGGAGGCAGGGAAGGGAGGAAGCTGGGTGGGTGGAGAGGCTAGGGGCTCCGCCGCGGGGACGGGGTTGTCCGGCAGGCGGCTGGCTCTCTCGCTCGGGGTGGGTGTGGACTGTCTGCAGTGCTAGTTGGAAAGTACCCAGGATTTGTGCGCGCGCATGGGAGCGATCGCTGCGAGAGGGAGCATTTCCAATGTGGTGGGAGTAACGGTCGGGGTGTGTGTGTGTGTGTGTGTGTGTGTGTGTGTGGCCTTGAGCATCATGCACCTTCCCCATTTTTTCAAACAAACAAAAGCCCGCCCTGCTGCAGAACCCAAGCATTTTGGGAAAAGGTGGGGTGGGGGGAATTCCTGTTTACGGCGTCCTCCCAAGCGACAGCAGCTCTTGGAAACTTGATAACCTCGCCAGTCCTTTCTCTTGCCCTTTCCCTCATCCTGGGCGTCGGGCCTGAATCCCAGCGTGTATAATGCAGGTCATCTGTGAGAGTCTGGAGTGAAATGATATCAGACTTTGTATTTTAACTGCGTTAAATGTGTGGTGCCAACTCTTGGTGGCATAGCTAGAAACTTTGCATTTTACTCTTCCGAGTGTTTTCCTTTTTCATGTCCCTCCTCCAAAACATACCAACTTAATTTCTTTGGCATGTGTTCAGAATTGCAGTTTAGGCTACTCCGCAAGCATTTCATCTTCCCATATACCAGAATGTTGGCTTGCATGCTATCAGAGTCATTTATTTTGTTTTGGGTGCAGTCCTGTAAGGTGGAGGCATTTTGCAAAACTTCACAGAGCAGGAAGGTTTAGAGGGGGTGTTGATCTGCCAGCTAATTAACAGCCTTCTAAGTGGTGGAAGGCAGGGATGGGCTGCAATAATGATAGATGCTAATAGGAACAACAGCAAACTTGCAGAAAGGGGCGTTGGGAGGAACATCTTGACTAAATTAGGAGGACATCTGTCTTGGGAAGATGCCTGAGTTATGTCATCCCAGAGGAAGTGAAAACTGGGCGGGGGGAAAGGCATAAAGTTTGAAGGTCTAGAGCATTTGTCCCCAACCTGGTGCCCTCAGTATGATTTGGACTACAGTTCCCATCATCCCCCAGCCAGGACAACTGTGCTGGCCAGGACATGTTCTGCCAACATTTAAAAGTACCATGTTGGAGGGTGGCAGCTCTGTAGTGCAGAGTGCTGCAAAGAATTCCTGGTTTTCTTCTCCCTTCCCTTCTCAACTGTGTAGCAAGTTCTCAAAGACCTGGATTTTGAGTGAAATCCTTTGTCTCCTTTGCATCTTGGCTTCTGATCGGAGACTTCTGCCTCTCTCTCTCTCCCTCTTCCCCGCCTCCCCCTTCCTGGTTACGTGGTTCCTCATCTGCTGTTGCCTTTCTGCAGCTATGACTGGCTGGTCTCCTTCCCAGCTTTTACAGGGATGGTTCTAGCATTGCATCAGGGGATATTTTGTGCTGTAATCCAGCAACGCAGCCAGGATAAGCGATCGCAGAACCGCTGCTTGAGGGGATGGGTGTGGTGAGCTGCGTGGATGCAGCAGCCGAGGCACGGCCGGCCTATACAGTAACTCTGCCCAGTCATCGGCACAAGGGATCTGAGCGGCAAGCTATTTTTATAAATCGGGCCTAGCTTCAAGCTGGGCGCACCGATTTAGAAGGAACAGTTGTCATATTTTAAGTATTAAATGAGTGTGGTATGAGTGCGACGCTGCCTCGGGTAAGTTTAGACATAGGGCCCTGCTGTTCTTGGGTAGGAAGGGGCCTCTTGCTGAACGAATCCACCCCCCGCCTTCAAGTGCATACCAAGCCTGCCTGCCTGCTTTGTCATTGCCACATTCGCTTTTCGCTAGAGAGCCTCTTAAAATTAAAATTCCAGAAGGGTAGCTGTGTTTGTCTGAAGCAGTGAAAGGGCGGAGAGATGTGGTACCTCCAAGGCTTAACGGTCTTCAAGGCACTGCAGCACTTGTGGTCCTGGACCCTGAAACTTCCGTACTCTCTAACTCTTCTGCTTCGTGGTCCCCCCCTCCCACTATCCCCCAGCTGTCCTCTTGCTTACATTGCTTTCCCAACTCGGCCTCCTCCGTGCATGACACAGAGCTCTCCATTTTGCAGGACTGCTTAAAAGCCAGAGTTTGTAGTGAGTGAGAAGCACCAGAACTTACCGAGACAAACTTTTGTTTATAGCACGGTTTGTAAAGGCTTATAATTTGTTCTGGGCCACAGATGCAAAGCATCCCTTTGCTCTTTATTTTCTCTGCAGTGAAGCATTAAAAGCACATTTTTTTATCAGTGTTGGATATAGAGTCATCTTGGTTATTTGTTTTTATTTATTTATTTCATAGCATGTCTCACCTCAGGGGCTTGAGGAGTGTTAAACACAAGTTAAAACATGCTTCAAGTGGTTGTCTTTTCAGTTGTTGGTATCCGTCTGACTTGGAAGACAATGGAAGAGTGCACCGTTGGGGATAAAGTCAAACCATTGGAGAGTTCTAGCGCCTGCTATGGCTGTAGAGACTGATGCAGGAGAGGCATGTTTTGATGCAGCTGGGGCAGAGGAAGGCGCCTGTTTTTTCTGCTACAGGTGTGCCATGGCGTTTTTTCTCTCTGTGCTCTTCACAGCAGTATTTCCTCCTCTGATCACTAAGAAAAAAAAAGAAAAGAATGTCTCAAGTGTATGTCCATACAATGGGAGAGGGACTAGTTCATGATATGGTTGAAGGGAAATGAGAAAAGATTATTTAGATGACAGTTACATAGAGTAAGTGAAAGAGGAACAAAGGGAGAGACCTATGCAGACCTAAAAAAGGCTTCTGCAACATAGAGAATCATGGAAGATTGTCACAGATCAGTCTGCAGCTTAAAATTCAAGGACATTATTAAATCAGGGTGTAGCTTATTTTGCAGGGCAGGTATGTGGCTCTTACTGAATTAGCTATGCAGTTTGTTGTCTTGAAAGCCACTTGTGCTCACAGGGAGGAGAAACAAGGTGGTCAGGAAGAGTAAGTCACTCTGCTGTCTGGAATGTCTAGAAGAGGGCGGCAAAAATGGTGAGGGTTTAGAGAGCAAATCCAACGAGAAAGAGTTGGGTCTGTTTAGCCCAGATGTGGGGATGATTTAAGGTGTGATATGATGACCATTTTCAAATATGTGCATATTGATAGTCACATGCATGTCGGGAGAAAATATGTTTTCTGCTGCTCTAGAGCAGAGGGTCTGGACCAGCAGGTTCAGATTACAAGAAAAAGGATTTCCACCAAAGAACGTCCTGTTGCATGAGTTATTTGACCGTGGAGTAGACCATATTTGAAGGTGTCGTGCCGTGCTTCATGAGAGGTTTTTCAATGCTTGACCCGATATTGGGGATGCTGTAGCAATGAATTTCCAGCATTGGCAGAGAGTTTTGACTAGATGACCTTTGAGGTCTCATTCAGGTTATGTTGCTCCAATTGCAGCTTTCTGTTCATTGCCCTGCACTGCTTTTGTGCTATGTGTGGTGTAGTTGTGGTTTTGCTTCTGGATGTGGTTTGATTTAAGTTAAAATATGCTGGTGTCAAGCTCTCCTTACATTCTTGGGCAGCTCCCGGCTGGATTGGTCAACCTGTGTGATCCCCTCTCCCCATGATCCCGCCAGACATTGGGCTGCCTCTTCAGCACAACCATAGTATTGCACAGAAGTTGTCGAAGGTCCTGGATTTGATTTCTGGTATCTCCAGTTAAAATTGCCTTCTTAATAGATTGCAGCAGGTTTGTAGATCATACAAAATCAGATTGCCCCCACGTATCTCTTGCCGCACATTCGTGGCCTCAGAGTGCAAAGAAAAGAGGTTCTATTCCTGTTTATGAAAGTTTACCTGGAGACTATTCTTACTCGCCATAGGTGATCAGTGGCTCTTCATAAGCCTGAGTTAAAAGGATATTGGGTAACAGAAGTCTCTTCCAGATCTTGGAAAGTTTCCTGCTTGTCCTGGGCATGCAGTGCTGTGCTCAAAGACACCTGGATCTCCTGCTGCGGAGAAACAACTTGAAATACCTGTAGCCTATGTCGATGTGGCACATGGCATGCCAGCCATTGTCAGAAGTGTTTGTGTACACGAGGCATTAGTAGACCTACAAGGGACCTGTTGCAATTGCTGTTCTGCTGTTGCTATCACTGTATGTTTGGGCCCTTTGTATTCTGTCTGCTAGTAAACAGTTGGCAAGCTTTGTGCTGGTGGCTTGAAGGATTTTACAACCATTTTTAAATGTCTACACTGGCCATTATGGCTCGTGAATGTTCTGTTTATTGCTTCTTTTTGTCACTCCTTGGCAGATTCGTCTTGGGCTCCTGCCTTTGCTTTTATTGTCCAGTGTTATTTATACCCCATGACTTGCAGAATCCAGATCTAATTTAGTTTGTGATTTATGGACGCTTGCTTCTCTTCCAATTCATGTCATTGTATTGCCGGTATGTCTGTCCTCCTCCTCCTCCATTGCCACCACCCAGTTCCAACCCAGCAAGTCTATTCAGGACTTCTTCTTTTGAAACGACTCCAATCAGCCAAACCCGATAAACAGAGCGGGGTGGCAACAACCCCCTAATTTCAGAGGTTAATTAGCTGCATGGCATCAGATATGCAATGGAGGCCTTGATAGATCTCTGCGGTCTGTTGATATTCAAGCAGATGGGTGCCTTCAATTTGAAACAACCGTAATTAAGTTTTGGTTAGCCAGGCAGGACTGTCACTGCTCCTGTGTTTACCTTGGCAGCAAACCAAAGGCAGGAATTATTCAATCCATATTGGGAATCTGATTATTGCTGCTAAACAGATGAGTTGATATTACTCCTTAAATCTCTTTATATTTGGATGCTGCCTCCCACATGGATGGTGGTGGTTTTTCAGAATGAAGCCAGAACGCTTGCTGCTCTTGGGCGACTTCTCTTGGCAACTGCTTCATACCACAGAAGAAGATGTGCAGGACCAGTGGTTAAGGCGTGCACTCTTTCGAGTTGTGCTTCATCGGGCATAGCGTGTGTTTGGCCAAGAGCCACGCATGAAGGCACCCTTGCTTCTGCTGCAGCAGCCTTTCCCAGCTTGATGGGAGTTGTCATCCAAAACATGTGGAGAGCACAGAGTTGGGGAAGAGCTGGTCTGGAGATTGCCTAGCCTGAATTGGAGCACTTTGCAACCCTGTTTCCCCGAAAGTAAGACATCTCCCGAAAATAAGACCTACTTACAGTTTTGCCTCTCGCTGTAATATAAGGCATCCCCCAAAAATAAGACCTCCCCAGAATATGTGTACCGTATTCTTCTTCATGGAAAAATAAGACATCCCCTGAAAATAAGACCTAGCGCATCTTTGGGAGCAAAAATTAATATAAGACACTGTCTTATTTTCGGAGAAACAGGGTAGTAGTGACATACTTTTAGTGGCATACTTTTGCTTTGGGGGGTGATGGCAAGCATCTAGGAGTTCTAGGACAGGGGTCAGCAACCTTTTTCAGCCGGGGGCCGGTCCACTATCCCTCAGACCTTGTGGGGGGGCTGACTATAATTTTTTTTGGGGGGGGAATGAATGAATTCCTATGCCCCACAAATAACCCAGAGATGCATTTTAAATAAAAGCACACATTCTACTCATGTAAAAACACGCTGATTCCTGGACCGTCCGTGGGCCAGATTGAGAAGGCGATTGGGCCGTATACCCATGTTCTAGGATAGCTATTTGTTTTCATTTTACATAGCTGCTCAGTGAGAGCTCTTGAGATTCTATTAGGAAGAAACATAGGCAGGATGCAGCTTATGTGCTGAAAGCAGGCAAATTGTAGCCTTCACATCCAGCCCTTCCACTCTGTTGCAGGAAGTCACGCCTCATGGTGGCAGAGCTTCAGCCGAGTTAAATGCAGCTCTTCAGAATCCGATGGCTTTATTGGGTCCTGGATCAAAGTCTCACTTGCCCAAAGTAACTCGCTACTCATTTATTACCAATCTCTTTTCAAACACTGGTTTAAACAGATGGGTTTGATAATGCTTCTGGCGCAGTGGAGAATGCTGACAGCTTTCATTTCTGTGATCAACCCTGTACTTAATAGCTGAAGTCTCAAATATTGTGGTTATTTTGGTGGTTACCTTTTTCCTATAGGAAAGCAGATGGGCCTGAGGCCCAAACTCTCCAGCAGAGATGAGGAACATGTGGCTGTGCAAATGATGATCAGCCAGCATGATCAAGGAGTCTAGCAACATCTGGAGGGCTACAGGGACCCTATCCCTGCTCTTTAGTAGTGTCCCACACATCCCAAATTGCCTCTGTCCATCCTAATGAAAAGAAAGCTGTTACGAAATTTCTGCACATGATCTACGTTTGAGCTGCGTTCACAGCACCAGAGCTTGGCCAAGGTGGAAGGCCCAGTGAAGAGCTATCCTTTGAGTGCAGTAAAATTCTAAAATCCTGATAGGAATATGACAGATTTTATGATTTAAGTGAAACCACCAATCAGCCTGTGAATAAATCTGTCAAGGCACATTTAATCAGGCACAGTTGGCACAGCTCTTTGCATTAAAAGAAACCTAATGGCTTTTTACGGGATGTTGGTGCATTGAGTTTGGCTTTCTACGGCTTTAATCAAAAGCCAGGGATGAATAATTAATCGCTGGATATCGAACTTGGGAGTCCAGACGGGAACTCTGACTTGGACTTTTCCTTCATATGTTGTGACCTGACCAGTCATAGCCTTGGATATCCAAATGTGTAAGCATGTTGTCAATACTTTTGAAATAACCATCATGTTTTGTAACAATCTGTTGCTCAGATGACCTGCCGTTCAGATGATCATTGCTGGAAGAAAGAAACACCCCCATTTTTTTGCTTTTAGGTATGGACTCCAAAGATTAGCCTGTCCATATTTGTAGCAGCTCCAAAATAAATAAATAAATGACAATATTTAATTTTAAATGAAGTCCTCATTCCAGGGCAGAGGCTTGACAACCATATGTCAGGAGTGCTCTGATGGTGTTTCCTGCTTGGCAGGGGGTTGGACTCAATGGCCCTTGTGGTCTCTTCCAACTCTATGATTCTAAGAAATGGTTAGGTGAAAGTGTACGTATTTGTTGCCATGCTGCCCTGTGAGAATAAACTATGAGCAGGAGCAGTCACCAGTAAGAAAAAGAGTTCGGAATAGGCCAGTATAGATGTGGATTGAATCAAGTGACTTTTCTTCTTTAACCTAGCTCAGCGTTGTCCTCTGAACCGGCCAGATGTTTAACTGACAAACAACCACAGTCCATCATTTGAAAAATATGACACGTGAGCCGTCTTGCTCCAAAATGGCAACTAGGCATTCCATTCTGCAATCTTGGTTTAAGGAGCCATTGGGCACCCAGCTTCTATAACTAAATTTCTAACACTCTGTCGAGTGTGATGTTGCTTCTATAAGCTGGACGGTTCAGTTGGAAAACGAAGTATTATTTGCTGACGCCCTGTGTTTTACAGAGAGTGTTCTATTTTTATACTTGTGTGCAACCTTGGAAACCCTTGCAGGTAAGAGGTGGGGTACAAATATTTTAAATAAATTAAAAGGTAGGCTCTCTCCCTTCAATTGGCTTCCTCCCCAGCTGCTGGCACATGGCTTAGCAGCTGAGTGGCAGGAGGGAGGTTTTGGCTCACAGTCACCTTGTGCTGGGCAAGACAAGGCCTTTTTCTGCACATTTTTCTCTGCTTTGCCAGCCTGCAGCTTGGAGTCACAGGGGTGATCTGTGCCCCAAAGTTTGTACTGTATATATGGTGCTGTGCCTGCTCTTCTGTATGCACGTTGGGAGAAATTCCCCCAGGCTTTCGGTGGTAGACTTGGGATTTGATGCGGGGGTGGCTGATGCAAGGATCATACCATGGTAAAAGATTGGCATGCAGAGCAGTAAAGTGAAGTATGTTTGGGGGGTCCTGTGGAACAGCTTGGCTGAACAGAACAGCTTGGGCTTCTTAAAGGTCCCTCGCTGTGAAGGACAGGCTGCATCTGTTGTTGCTACTCAAAGCCAGCCTGTCATGGAGAGCATGCAGGGCTTCATCAGACGCCAGGGGATGCTCCTCAGCGGAGTGACAGGGTGGAACTCTGGGCTTCAGTTGGGAGATAAGCGAAAGTTAAATACAAATTCTACTACCTATACAGCACTCCTCTGGAGTGCTCAGATTGCTTTGCCTACATTAACTGTAACCTTTAGCTCAGCTAAGGCTCAGCTTCATGCTTTAGGCAGTGTTAGAAACTCAGATATATAAGCTAATCACCAAATGCTACCTCAAACCTGGATTATGGTCACCACAACAGAATGTCTATGCGCCGTTTACCCCCCAGGTGGGATTTATTTTTATTCATTTCATTTCTATACCGCTTTATATTTTAAAGAGAAAAAAAAATTCAAAGCTGTTTACAACGCATTAAAAGATCCAATAAAACAATCCAGAATAAAACAAATTCAGGCTTCAAGGAAAATATTTCAGATCCTTCTCTTAAGGGGCCTTTTGCTTTCCCCATATTGATCTGCCTGCTTAATTTATAGAGCTGCCCCGTAGCAGAGGTTCTCTCGGAAGCCAGTGTAGTGTAGTGGTTAGAGTGTCATACTAGGACCTGGGAGATCTGGGTTCAAATCCCCACTCAGTCCTGAAGCTCACTGGGTGACCATGGAGTCAGTCCCAGTCTCTTACCCTACCTCACAGGGTTATTGTAGGGATTGACTAATAGATAGATAGATAAATAATTAATTTATTATTCATACCCCACCCATCTGACTGGGTTTTCCCAGCCACTCTGGGCGGCTCCCAATAGAATATTAAAAACATGATAAACTGAGGAGGGAAGTGAACCATGTACTCCTTGGAGAATAAGTTGGGATATAAATGCAATAAACAAACTCTTCTGATTATCTGCTTAAGAAAGTTGGAGGGGCCAGCCAGGTGGAAATGTCTTGTCACCAACCTGGTACCCAGAGATCTCCATGTGGTTGCAATTGGACCTGTGCCAGTCGCAAAATGCGCCTGGCGCCTGGCTAATTTCTTTTTTTTTTTTAAATGATATTTATTAAAATTTCAAAAGAAAAAGATTACATTAATAAGAAAAATAACAATAAAAAAGGAAAAATACAAAGTACAAAAAAGAAAAAACAGTTAAAAACAATTCCATCTTTTCATCACTTCTCTTATATTTACTTGTTTCCCGGACCTCCTCATACCTCCCTCTTTTGTATTCCAATTCAATTTGTTAGTCCAGCAATTCCTTTCCCTCCTTTTTAATCCTGATCTTTAATCTTGATATATTATAACATTAAATTTTTACATATTAAAAACCAATTTTTCCATATTCTTTTATACCATTACAGCTAGAAACCACTTAACTTCAATCCAACATCATTCTAACATTCATTAATTTTACAATATTTCTGTAAGTAGTCTTTAAATTTCTTCCAATCTTCTTCCACCGACTCTTCTCCCTGGTCTCGGATTCTGCCAGTCATTTCCGCCAATTCCATGTGGTCCATCATTGCGCCTGGCTAATTTCTAACACTGGCTTTGAGTGACGTTTGAATCAGGGCCTTGTGACCTAGAGCTCTGTCCTCTTAACCAGGACTCTACATGACTGGCCCGGATTCTTCCTTGCTTGGATAGGTGGGTCCAGAAATTTGTGCAGGTGAAGGAAATAAATTGTGAAGACCTCAACCCTGCGTGGCCTTCAGCTTAAGAGCTCTTACTGTCATCTTGTTCCTGTCACGCAAGAAAGCTTTCAGGCTTCCCGTAGGTTTGCTAATGGGGTAGGATGTGTCTGTGGGTAGGAAAGGTCAGCAAAATGAACAGCAAAGTCTGCAGTCATGGGAGGAATTCATTCCTGGCCCTCTGCAGCTCTGAAAGTACCTTATTTAAAGAAAATGCCTGTAAAAAACTTCAAGCCCTTCCTCCAAAATGGCTGCATTCTGCATAAGATCAAGCTAAATATGAATCAGGGTGGATTTGATTTAAATCAAATCGATTGAAATCATGATTTAAATCACTAGTCAGTAAGATTTGATTTAAATCATTTTTTTACAGAAAGACTCATTCTTGCTGGTATCATCTTAATACTGTATTTACAACTAGAGGAAGGCTTCATTTTTGGAATAATAAAATTTCAGAGTAGTTTTTACAGTTATATCAAAAATTACTGATTTGGTTATACTATTAGAAATACGTAGATAATTATGAAATTATTGTGAGGTTTGATAACTTAACTGTTTATATTTGGACAACTTTTCTGCTGTACTATATTGGAAGGAGAAAAATAATCATTTCCTTAATAACAATTTAAACAATTTATTTAACTAAAACAATAACATTATAGCATACAGTGGTGCCCTGCAAGACGAATGCCTCGCAAGACGAAAAACTCGCTAGACGAAAGGGTTTAGCGATTTTTGAGTCGTTCCGCAAGACGAATTTCCCTGTGGGCTTGCTTCACAAGACGAAACGTCTTGCGAGTTCTTGCGAGTTTGTTTCCTTTTTCTTAAAGCCGCTAAGCCGCTAATAGCCGCTAAGCCGCTAATAGCCATGCTTCGCAAGACGAAAAAACCGCAAGACGAAGAGACTAGCGGAACGGATTAATTTCGTCTTGCGAGGCACCACTGTATGCATCTATGTTTGTTAACTGATGTGGTTAAACAATTTTTTTAAAAAAACAACAACAGACTGAGATGTAACACACATGAAAACCTTAAAACAAATCTTTATTTCATGATGAATAGCCTTTGGACTATAATGTAACCTAAATAGAAAACTATCTTTAGAAAGATTTTTCCTCCAAAAGCATTTTATTTTAAAAATGAAATTTAAATTAAAAAAATGATTAAAATAAAAAATATGATTTTTATTATTTTTATCTACACTAATATGAATACAGATGCAGTTAGGTCTATCCTTGGTTGGAGGCAGCAAAGCTGAATTATTCTGGTTTTTTAAAAAAATGAAAACAGCTGATTTCTGGCTGAGTTTGAAGTATCCATAGAGTAGGTGGCATAAAGGGAGTAGCTCAGGTGTGGCCTTGAATTAGGGTGTGGAGGTAACTTCCACCTGGTGTTGTTGTTTACTAAAATGCTAAAACAGTTTCAAAATAGACAGCTGTATCTGACTAGGTTTGTTGTGTAGATCCAGCTGAAATTTACCCAAGGTAGCCGTGTCTATCAATTTCAGTGTGTCTACTCTGAGCAAGGCTACCATTGGATGCCATCCAATACGGGATGAAACAGCTAAAATCGGTGAGAACCAGGAAAAGGCAAAGATTGCGTAATAAGCAACAGATTAAGAGTATACAAAGCAGTTCCATAGTATATCCTGCTCAGAACTTAGGAAGATGGGACACATTTTCACCTGGGCATAAAACGGACTCTGCTGCACTCCACATACTTTAGTTTGCAGCTTCCATCTTCCCCAGCCCAAAATCCTGGGCACCAGCTTTCGGTTATTAAATGGCTGCGTGCTCGTGACTCCTGGGATTTCCCCAACACTGTTGGTACTTGCTTGTCTCATATTGTTTGCATGGTATTCATATTCAAGTACCTGGTTGCATTTTCTCCATGGAAAACGCATGCAAGGGGAAGAAAATGAGGACCAACCCAGCTGCAAAAACAAACCAACCACAATGGAGCTGCCTACAGGCATATTTAATTATTACAGGTTGCCTGTTCTTCTTGGCCTTGCCTTAATTACATTTTAAAATGCGAAGAATATGAGACTGTTGTTTTTAAATAGGATTGTTGACTGCTTATGTGATGTATACAGAAATTACAGCACTTTCAGCAGACTGCTCAGCTCCCATCAATGGCCCTTTGATTCTCTTTGGGGCTTGTGAAGCCAGAGGCTACTTGTGGCACACAGGGATATGGAATCAGCTGATGGTTGGTGCCTTGAATATTTTGACGCCCACAATAGTCACTTGCGTGAAGCCAGTATGCTGGGAAGGCCATTGCTAGCTGGGCTCTGCTGAACTGGGTGGGTCTAGGCTGAGGAGTCATTGGGCATCTCTGGAGATTTCTAGTTTCAGACAGAGTGCATTAGGGCTGCAATCACAAAGCTGGCCAGCCAGAGCCAGAAACCGAATTTAGGAAAGGGTTTTAATGATATTTCTTAGTCTTAATGCCTCTTTCTGTGCTGTGGCTGCTTTAATAAGATGCATTATTCATCTGGAGTGGGATCTTGGTGGGTGGAAGGGCAGGCTGTCTTTTCTGGCATAGGATTAGGTCATATTTCCAAGACAGTTTTTGTATTGTCTGGGAGGGATGAAGCACTGTTTGTGCTGTGGAATGGACTGGAGCTGCCTCATTTTGCAAAGCAGCTCGTTCAGCTAAATGGAAGTTGTTGATCCTGCAATTTAGCAAGACCAAAAATCTGGTGCAGTGTATGTGAGGCTTTTTTTTTCTTTAAAGGAGAACTTTCTTTTTAAGTTGTTTAATGTGGAATAATTTTATTCATTATATGTGTTATTTTTTTTTTAATGCTGCTTGTCACCATGGGGCTGGGAAACCTTTTTCGGCCAAGGGTCACGGACGGAGAGGGGGGAACGACTCTCGCCTAGGCTAAATCCCAGCCACACAGAAGCCAGATGTTTCCTCTGCACCACCCACACCCCAAATCTCTCCCTTCTTCAGGCAAGGAAGATTCAGCATCTTGGTTCCAGGATGCATTACAACCAGGCAAAAGCATGCAAGAAAGGTGTGGGGCAGGACTGGTGGGAGGTGTGGCTTGGGGAGTATGAGAAGGGGCTGGGGGAGGCACATTCAGCCCCTGACCTGAAGTTTCCTCACCCCTGAAGTGTAGTAATCTTAGTAATACAGACTTAATTTGTCCCTTTTAAGCAAGAGTGGTGATTTCTTCAGTTTTTCTTTCATAGTATTGAATCCTTAGATTTGCAGACTCTGTTTGCATGTGGCAGTTGTATCACAGCAACATTTGGAGAGTAACATGCCTGTCCCTGAATTGTGGTTTACCACAGCGTGCGAGCTGGGCTTCTGTTTGTTTAAATGCACAATTCATTTGATGGGAGTCATTTTCCTGGTTGTCTGTATTGAACTGTTGCCTCTAGGCATGCAAACAGGTTCATTTTGCTGTTTGTTTTTTGTTATAATCTGTCGGTGACTGTCATAAAGAAGGGTTGGCTGGCAGTTAATAACGCCTGTGAAGTGCCCTGCAAGGGTGATGTGCAAAATGCATTACAAGTCATCACCGTAAATTTCCCAGCAACAAACTTGTCACGTTACCATTTTAAAGGTGGGGGAAACAAAGTTTGCAAGGTCTGATGGTTTCCAATAGAAACTAGGCATTGCTCTCTGCTTTGCCCTGACCTTCAAGGCTTTCGTGAGCATCCTCTGGTCATATGTTGGGTACTTTCAGGTGCAGGTGAGTCCCGGTCTGGGAAGAAGGTGGAATTTAAATCAATATAATAACAGCAACAACAACCACGGCCTAGGACCACCGTATATACGGGACTGCCTCTCCTGCTGTGCCCTACGGATGACCTTAAGGTCCATAAATAGTAACACCCTAGAGGTCCTGGGCCCTAAGGAAGTCAGATTAGCCTCAACCAGAGCCCAGGGCCTTTTCAACACTGGCCCTGGCCTGGTGGAACGCTCTGCCTCATGAGACCAGGGCCCTGCAGGATCTGATTTATTTCCGCAGGGCCTGTAAGACAGAGTTGTTCCGCCTGGCCTTTGGCTTGGAATCAAATTGATCCCCTCTTCCTTTTTCCTTTTTCCTTCTGTGATGGAACTCCTGTTTGGAGACTTCCCTGGCTTTTTTCTGGCCCACCTAGGACCAGTCTGGATAGTTGGCCTTGGTGAAGACTTGACATTTTCATCCCCCAAAAAGTTTTTGATTTGAGTTTCTACTGAAATGAGGCTGCATTTTAATGTTGTATTTTAATCTTGTTTTTAAGTTGTATTTCAAGCAATTGTTTTTATGCCTCGTGTTAGCTGCCATGAGCCCGGTCTTGGCTGGGGAGGGCAGGGTATAAATAAAATTTAACAACAACAACAACGGAATGCATTTCCATATGCAGAGACCACTATATGCTTGGGAACAGGTAACAGAGAAGGCTGTTGACTTCATCCACAGAAGCATCTGGCTGTTCCTTGTTGAAAAGGGGAATCCTCTTGTGTAAAACTCCTTGGAATCGGGCGCAGCCAGCCTGCTGGCCGGGCAGGGTCATGTGGCAGAGTGGGGAGCGGGGATTACATGTTTTGCCCTGGGGTGACCCTGTTAGTAGCTTGCATTGGTGTAATTGATGAATGACTGGATTTGCCAGCTTTGATATCTGCACTAAGAGCATTTGCAAAGGCTGGCTTACTTGCTTCTCCCTCCAACTTAATTTCAAACTCTGAAATTCGCTTAAGGACAGCCCTACACACCACCGTGGTGTGAGCCCCTGGCAAAGTTTTGCATAACAAACTCCTCCTGTGATGGTGGTGGGAGTTAATTTTCAGGCCCTGATCATCCTAGAGGTGCGTGTGCCCTAAGTGTAGCCTCTGGGGTGCTTTGAATAAGCAAGCCACTTGTACATAATTGTGCCGTGTCAACTGAGAGCGTGGCATTGGCGGGTCAATTAAAACGGACCCGCGATCTTGCATTATGTCATTGCTTTGCAGATTTTCAGTATGCATCCATTTGGAAAGAATGTGTAGGTTTTGCAAGCGCTGTGGAATGCCGTTGGTTAACCTTCTTTTGTAAGCCTTACAATGACAGCTTGTGTGCCGCTGAACGCCCAAATCCTGAAGGGAAAAGGGAGTTCCTCTGATATGATAGCAGAAGGAAGCCCAATTTAACCTGTGGGAGACTGAGGAAGAAGGCTGCTGCTGGATGTTAGGAGATGCAGATACAAAGCCCAAGGGCTCTTGGGGAACAAGCTTGCTACGATGCTGATTATTAACCTACCTCTCAGGATTGTTCTGAGGAAATGATATCAGTCAGCTGTCAAGCACCTATTTTTATAATGAAGAATACAGCAAAAATGACTTAATGGGATTTCAAAATTTCCTTTTCCGCCTGCTTTTGTTGTGAAGCCCTGCGTGTGGTGATAGTCCAGTCACAAACATTCCAAAATACTGGCCTACATTATGGGGCTCTTATAAATATATCTTGGCAATCCTACATTGAAGTGCTATATAAATGTACTAAAAATAAGTGCCACTGGAGGATGCCTGGAGAGTGGCAAGAATTGAATATTGCCATTATCCATGTTCTGTACTATGGGCACTCCTCAGAGGTGCAGCCACCTGGGCAGACGTTGCCACAGCATTTGGGCTAGTGACCATAATAACTTGTCTTTATCAGAGGCACCTGGGATTTGAATCCCCAACCTCATAGTTCTAAACTTATTTAACAATTTTGGGCTAAAATGAGCCATGGCTGCTGGAAGGGGGAAGGGTCTTTTGGATGGACCAGGGCTCCACCTGGAGTCCCCGAGAATGCTTCTAGGAACATGGGAAGCTGCCTTATGCTGAGTCAGACCTTCTGTCCATCTATCTTAGGATCACCTCCAGCTGTTTTGGGACTGCATTTCCCATCATCCCTGACCACTGGTCCTGTAAGCTAGGGATGATGGGAGTTGTAGTCCCAAAACAGCTGGAGGGCCACGTTTGGCCACCACTGACCTACACTGACTGGCAGGGTTTTTGACAGCCCTACCTGGAGATACCAGGGATTGAACCTCTGGCATCGTGCACGCAGGGCATGTGCTCTGCGACAGGACTGTGGCCCTTTTCTGTTAGTGCCGTGAGGGGGGAAATGGAACAAATTCCACTTTGTGCAGCAAGTTTACAGAATTCACCAGCTCACTAGGGCAGCATGGACACTAGAATGGCAAGAGATAAATTATATAAATGAGCATGTGCATCTTATTTATTCCAACAAGCTTTTATACTGGTGTTGCTCTTCAGATATTGGTGCTGGGGTCTGAGTAATTTTTATATGTTCTCCATGCTTTGCTTTCTGTGATAATTTACAGCAGGGGTAGGGCCTGCTGGACCAAAATGTCCCCATCATCCCTGATCATTGGCGGTCTTGGGCTGCCAGGAGAGTGACAGTATCTGCTAGGTGTGCCACCTTAGCTATCTCTGCTTCTACAAAGCGGCATGTGGTACCTGTCAGATGACTCAAGGGTAAGGCAGAGTATTTAAAAATGGAAGAATGCCTATCCTTCCGCTTAACACCGGATGAACTGGGAAGTACTGGTTTCTTCCGTAGGTTCACTCTAAGCAGCAAAGGCACCATGAATTTTGCTCTGAGGAATGCCAGAGGCAGAAGCACTGGTCCAATGCTGTCCCGGCAACCCACTATTTGTGCTTGACCTACTGGATGCCCAGAATCTGCCTCCATCTCTGAGAGGATTATGCAGGAACTTCTTCTATGTGTACATGCTATTCCCCAGTTGTCCATTACTAGAATTCTTACATCACCCTCTGCATTTGATATTGGCTGTTGCTGGAGAAGAGGCAGCTGACTGGGTAAATGGAAGCTCTGTTTTTGAGTTGCAAACCATTGTCTGCTGCAAGACTTCCCCGTATCACTTGTTCTCAGACATCACTTATCACTCCTTACTCTGTTGGGGTGTGTGTTTGTGTGTGTTAAGTCTGACAAACATGGAAGCAAGTCCCAGTTGGGTTGCAAGCCATTTACTGCGCAGCGAGTGCTTTTCAGCAGCAGGGCAGAGTCTCTCTACCAGCATGTGAATAATTCTGACAGATGTAAAACTGTTTCACAGTGGGTATTAACTGCTGCAGTTTTAACAAACTTGACTCTGGATTTTTTATATATATATATATATATATATATATATATATATATACTTTTTTAAAAAAAGATTTTTCTTTGGTAACAAAAGTACATATATCATCTATTGTTTCATACAGTTGACTCTAAATTTTAAACTTCTTTCCCCATTTCTGGCATGGTTTTTAAGCTGTCCTGAGCTCCCTTTTGAGAGGACAAAATGAGATAATGACATCTCTTGGCTATTGTGGGGTGCTGGGGACCCTTTCCCTTCAGTGTATGCCCCCTGCCACAAGTTGTCAGTGAATTGATTTGGGGTGGGGGTGAACTGCAAGAAGATCAAACCTATCCATTCTGAAGGAAATCAGCCCTGAGTGCTCACTGGAAGGACAGATCCTGAAGCTGAGGCTCCAATACTTGGGCCACCTCACGAGAAGAGAAGACTCCCTGGAAAAGACCCTGATGTTGGAAAAGATTGAGGGCACAAGGAGAAGGGGACGACAGAGGAAGAGATGGTTGGACAGTGTTCTCAAAGCTACCAACATGGCTTTGGCCAAACTGTGGGAGGTAGTGGAAGACAGGAGTTCCTGGCGTGCTCTGGTCCATGGGGTCACAAAGAGTTGGACATGACAAAACGACTAAACAATTGTCCCTATCTGTGCTTCACTTGCAGGAGGAGCACAGACTTGCCTTTTAAAGTTGAACCCAATTAAGTGAAAGGTGGCTTTCCTCATCCCCTAAATTTTAGGCTGAGCCTCCTTTCTTCACAACTCTTGATCCTCTGACTTGTCAAACTTGTCCAAGAGGTGAGCCAAAAGTTAAAACGACCTGATAAACTTGACAACCACTGGCAAGATGAGGGGTCTCTTAGCCACTTAACCTGGACCAAGTGAAAGGGTCATGTAAGCAGCAGAGTGGACCTGAAATATTGTTGGCTTGCATACTCAGGAACATGATTTTTTTGGGGGAGGGGGGACACTGCTTTTCTCTTGAGTGACAGGACTTCTGTAAGTGTTTAGAGACAGTTATATGGCAGTTGACAAAGGCCCAGGAGTCCATTTGATGTGGGAAAAGGAGGGACTTCCAGGCGAGGTGTCCCAATAGTGTTGTGCAAAGTTTCCTGAAAACGCACACACGCATAAGCAGCAAACTAGACTGTGTTTGCCCATAAGAGAACTCCAAAATCCATAGTATGCAAATATCTTTATTAGGCCAACCAAAACATTGCAAAATAGTGTGCAGGCTTCCGAGTTTTCCAGAACTCTTCATCAGGCTATAGTAAACAGTGCAATACAGTGGAAATAAGGGATGGGAATTAGCCGACATTGAAGTCTACGTTTGGTCCCAGCCTTGCAATTTAATGAGGAGCTTTCAGGTGAAGCTGTTGTTGTGCTATGCTGATATCAGGCGGCACCAAAGCTTTACAGGGACGCAGTTGCTTTTGTTATTGGTGTGACTTGGTTTGTTGTACCGATTAATGCTTTACTTATTTGTACAATTATTTGACTGATAAATTGACCAAGGTGGTTTTGGTTTTTTTTTTTTAAATTAGTCAAATGACCTGTCAGGACATATTTTTGTGTCACCATGCATTTTCCTAAACAATAAAGCACCACTTTATTTACCACTGGAAGGGCTTACTGAAAACCTATTTAGGGGAGTCTTTACCGGAAGATACAGACGTTTTGTGCAGACGACATTTCACAGGGGAACTGAATCTTGACAGTTTGCTTTCTGTTTCATTCTTAGGAGCATAAGAGCTTGTTAGGATGTGGCTACATAAGAGGGATATCGTTTGCGTTGCCCCATCTGACTGTTTTGTATTAGGATTCAATTTTTGTGAGTGCCCATTCTGTTTTGAGTCAAGTGAGTAGGTGCTGACAGATGAAGGAGGCAGCTGCAAGAATGAGCCATAGACCGGCATCTAATTGAATGAACGCAGACTGAATACTATTCAGGCTTTCTGCTTGTGAATGAGCACTCAAGAATTCACATGTGTGAGGTGCAGCTTGCTCAGTCTTTCAACTGGGTAGCTGCTTACTGCTCAGTTCTTACGGACTGCATATTATTTTAATGGGGCAGTTCAGCTGATAGGATGTTTCCTACATTCCTTTTTGGTTCTCATCCATGATGGTAAAGTTCCTCTGTGTTTCTGTGTTTGCACTAGAGTCCTTGCATTGCACATGCCAAAGAATTTCTAGACATACTTGTCCCCTTCCTTTTGAGAGACAAAAACAAAAGCACATTTTTACCAACTGCCCCCACCGCCACTGTGAGCCCTGCCTTCTGTAATACCTTTTGGCAGATGGTACGTCTCGATTAGATCAAATTAGTTCTATTTATGCTGTAGCCTGAACATGAGACACTTTGCTGTAGCACTTGGTGGCATACAGTCATGTACACAATTTGACATTGTCTCCATGCCAGTTAACCGTTCTGCCTCACAGGCTCTGACCTATACGGAATCTCTTTTGTCTTCTAAACTTTGGATCTGAGGCTTAGCTGGCTTTCTCCCCCCCCCCCCCCGACCCAGTTTGTTCTAATGCGGAACTATTTTTGCAGCTTGATATGCTGACCGAAGACTTTTAACTTCCCAAATCAGAAGCTTCATAGCTGTGTATACTTTGTCTCCCACACATGACTGCGGATGAAATCCTGTGAAATGTTTGGATGGGTGGAATAGCTTTGTGTGTTTCAGGTTCACTGTGTCAGTTGCATCTGGTTAAGATTATTATTCATTTATATGCCACCCATCTGACTGGGTTGCCCCAGCCACTCTGGGCGGCTCCCAATAAAAAATAGTAAAAACGCAATACAACATCAAACACTAAAAAGTAAAAAGTATCAAACACTGAAAAGATGCATTTTCCCTGTATGAGAACAAGGTCTTTCTTTCCTAACTACATAATTAGCACCAGGTACTTCTCTGAACCCCATCCCATTCTGATGACCCACCGAAAATAAACATTCCCATCATGCAAACTGCCTTTTGCAAACCTAGCAACTTCTGAACTCTAAAAACCTTAATCCTTCAGCAGTGGTGGTGAGCTGAGCTCAGAAAGGACTAAATAAATGTGAAAATGACTTCCAGTTGCTCATCTGGGTGATGTGTAAATAGGGAGAGCAGATGGCTTTGCAACTATATCCTTCCATTTTACAATAATCCTTAGAGACTGATATTTTTGGCTGGTTGGGTCAGATCTGCAGGTGTGAAGAATGCAGTTGTGCAGTCCGGCTAGCTAAGCTAATAAAATGTCCGTTTTGTCTGTTTCCTGGTTCTGTAGGAAAAAGCAACCCCATTGTAATATTTGAATAATGTGATCTTAATAGCAAGAAGAAAAGGATCACTAAGGGGTTTTAATAGCTCTTAAGTTCTTCATGCAGATTCTCAGTAATTCTTTCAGCGAGAGAGGCTCAAAGGATCTAAGGTGGTCAGGATAGAGGCTGATCTGTGAATCTGCAGCAGAGGTTAGATTATTCAGAGATAATATTCTTGGCCACTACATGTTGAAAAAGACATTGATAATGACAGCCGCCCGTTTGCACTTTGCCTGTAATGAGACTATGTGCTCTGCTGAGTCACGGGCAAAGAGAGCAGCAGGGTGGACTGTTTCTACAAAGCAGCCATTGCTGCCTGCTTAAGGTGTGCTGCTTCTGGCTTAAGTTAGTTTTACCTTCTTAAAATTAGGGTGTTTAATGTGGCTGGGCATTGAGATGCCTGCTACTTAGCTTTTTGTAATTTTAAATCCCTGCTCAGATCTGTATCTGCAGCCTCGTATTTGCATTAGAATGTAAAACATACACATGGACAGTGTTAGAAACTCAGATATATGTCAGAAGCCAAATGGCTCCTTAAACCAAGGTTGCAGTCGCACCTGCTTTCCTGGCATAAAGTCTCAAGTTCAATTCCCAGCGTCTCCAGGTTGGGCTTGGAAGGGCTTCTAAAGCCCAGGAGTGCAGCTGTCAGTCAGTGCCAAGCTTAGATGTTTAATGTCGCTAGCAGATGCCTTTATAGTAAGGCTGCTCTCTGTGTTATATCAGACCCCTGAATATTCTGTCTCTCTGATAGTGCTGTTGAGTAGAACGAGGTTGGCAAGTTTGCCAGTATTTTAAAGCACTTCAAGGTCAGGGAGGGAACGAAGCCTGAGAAAGCTGTCTTTTTTTGGGTGGCAAAAATTCTTTCTGAAGTATTTCTTCTTGTGGCTTTATAAGACTACAAAATGGAGCCTGCTTCCTGAGGAGAGGCATAACTGCAGCAGCAGTTCCTAACAAAAAACTTTTTGATGGAGTTGGCCTTTAAGGATGATCTCATCTCGGTGACCAATCTGAGCAATATGCAATGCTCCAGCTATTTACTAAGACAAAGGACTGCTGAGCTGCCTAACCACAGAGAGTCCAGCCTGCTGGATTGAGAGCTGTCTGGATAGCAGCACTGGGGCTGCAGGGAAGGGCAGATACCAGCAAATAACCCTGGCTAGATTGTGTGGTGAACAGGATTTCCTGGTTAGGAGGGTTAAATGTTTCTCTCTGAAATCCAGAGCTTTCCTGATCCATTTGGAGCATGCCTGGAACATCCAACTGCTGCAATCACAGGTGTAGATAATATGTTAAATATTACTTCTATTGAATTACACTGAAGGCACACCCCTTTACCCTGGATTTTGACATTTGACATATATACTCTTGGGACCCAGCTGATTTCTGTGATTGTAACTGGCTCTGGGACCTTAGTGTGAAGGGCAGGCGGTAACAACAACTTGTGTGTATGTTCAGAGTTTTAAAGTTGTGCCTGATTTCCCTTTTCTTTTAACTGGTAAAGTAATATCAGAGCTCCTGAGAATGGGTGAAATATCCAATATCTATGCTGAGAAAGTTCTTGACTTCTGCAAACCCTGTTTACATTCTTTTGCTTCTTGTTTAACTTGGAAACTAGTAACACACTTTGAGGGTTTTCTCTTTCAGCCTTGAGGGTTAGAAACGTTCCCTAAATGTTGAAATGACTAACCATGAAATCCTTGATTGCTTGTAGTTTTATAGGATTTCATGGGAGAGCACATTTTCCTTTCTCCAAGGTGTGACCCAAGCCAGGTGGATCGTCTCCAGCTTAAGTACCTGGCAGGTGGTGTCAAAAACTGAACGCATAATTGGAGTGAAAGAAAAGCATATTTTGCACAAGGAGAAAAAAAATGGGTAAATGTTATTTTTTTAGCTTTCGAAAAGTAGTATCACTACAAAGCAATTCATGAGGACCATGAAGCCATGTCTGTGTTGAAAAGACTTAAATTCACTTAATTATGGACCAAGGAAGGTCAGAGCAGAATCTGCTTGAAACTTGCGAGCTGCATCTTATGGAACCTTTAAAAAAATCAAAATGTGATGACGTTTTAGCCAGATGTACTCCCTCCACATTCTTTCTGTAAGGTAAACCAGGTCACTCAGCTAAACTGATTAGGTCAAATACTTATCTGCTGCTGAGCAGATTCAGATATTGAAGGTTTGTGAAGAACACCCAAGGACTGATACTAGCATCCCAGGAAACTCAGTGTGACCCAGCACCTAGAAACTATCAAATGGCACTAAGCACCTTGGGTTATATTTCAAAGTAAAGGAAAATAACTTTGGCACTTTCTTATAATCTCTTAAACTTGCTGATTGGATCTTGTGTTCAGTTCCTTAGATCGTGGATGCATTTGATTGGATTCTGCAGTCATGCGCTTCGCATAGCATTGTGACGCACCTATTGCTATCTCTCGCGTTGCTCCGCTTTTGGGCCTCGCTTCATACTCTGGGTGTATATATACCGGCCCACCGGCTTGATGAATTTTTGGAGAGCTGGACTCCGGCCCATGGAAGCCACAGTGAATTTGCGAGTATTTCAAGTGCCATATGACAGTGTTGTCTTCGTAGCCACAGGCAAACATAGCTGCTGCTCTGGCATGTAGCCTGAGCTCTTGTTGGGCTGTTGCAATGATTAATAACTAATGCTACTTTCACATAATGATTTAATGGTGATATTTTACATAGAAACATAATCCTTACAACAGTAGATATTTGTTGTCCTCATATTTGCATATAACACCTCTGTAAATTGAGTGGATGGCAGCACAGCACATTTTTAGTACCAAGACCCTAATAGTGGTAGCTGAGTAACTGTGGTCTGTAGCAAATGGTCTTTGGTTTCTATGCAACTTGCACATCAGTTCTCGCTCGCCTCTTCCCTAACCCTTCCCCCCAACCCGAAAGGATTTTGGTCACCTCTAAAAAATAGAAAATATTGGGGTGGAAGCTGTATGATTCAATGGGTAACCCATTATGTCCTGGTACTGTGTTTTTGGATTGAGCACAGCTTCCCTTGAGTAACAGACTTCTGTAAAATGGCATTTAGTGATGTCCAACTGTCTCGTTGCATGGCCTTTTGGCTCCCAATTCCCCCAGTGGATAGGTGTTCATTGACAGCTTCATCTTGAACCTAAGAAGAGCCTGCTGGATCAGGCCGATGGTCCATCTGTTCCAGCATCCTGTTCTCACAGTGGCTGACCAGACGCCTCTATAGTAATGGGAAACCCAGAAGCAGGATCAGAGCACTAGAGCCATCTCCCGCCATGTGGTTTCCAGCAGCTGGTATTCAGAAGCAGTGTTGCCTCTGATTGTGAAGACAGAGCATAGACATCCTGGCTAGTAGTTGTCAATAGCCCTTTTCTCCATGAATATATGGTCACACTTTCTGTCTCTTGTGATGCGGATGGTTGTTGCTAAATTACAGTACTGTGGCTGGATGCTTGGGGTGCCTATACCTGAAATATGGGCGGAGGAAACCTTACCTTTATAGATTTTTAAAGTATGCTTTCCTCTGTCCCTCCCTCATCTCCTTTGGTGCCAAGCATGGAGAGTTGGAATCTGGCTAGGCAGGAAGGTTTGGCTTAAAGAGTCTACTCCTCCTCTTCCACATGAGGCAAGGTAACTCTTAAAAGGAGGGGCATTGCTTGTTGACTCTGAGTATTTGGGAAGGTGATCGTCCATCCCTTACTGGTGGGTTTGATATTCTGAAGAGTGGTTTGGACAACTGTTTTGTAATAGAATAACACATATTGATGACTAATACATAATACAAACTTATGAATAGATCTTGTACGCAGCCCAGAAAAGTCATTGGTTTGAAAGACAGTCTAAGGATCATGTTGAGAGAATATCAGTACTGTAGTTCTTGACCAGGTGAGGGAATGCTAGGTGATCTTTCAGCAACCTCACAGTGTTAGAATCCTTAAATTTCTTTGGGAGTAAAATAGAATACAAATACAGTGAAAAGGTATCTCAACAGCCTGCATTGAGAAGCATCCTTGCAGCAAGCAAAACCAAAATCAGTTTGGAGTTTCCTGGCCAACTTTTTCTAAGAGATGGGATCCCATCAGGCACTGTGGAAGCTGTGCTGTGAGCAAAAGGGGAGTTTCCCCTCCAAACGGCACACTGTGCTATATGTCACACTGTCTTTGAAATTGGGCTAGCACAAGCCCTTTGCACAGAGCCAAAGCAGCTGTTGCAACCTCAGCTCTTTCTTTGTCCATACACCTTTATGGGGCAGGTCGATCACTGCAGAGATAAGCCTGTAATTGCACCCTTGTAGGTAAGACTGATTTCCTTCTGTGCAGCAGCTGGGTATGAAGATGGAAGCTGTTCTTTTCCTTGGCCTTGGGTGGGAACCTAGTGAGGGAGGTGTCCTCTGACCTCCCTGACAAATGGAGAGCATTAGATGGCTATAATAGGCTGTAATCTTCTGCTCCAGGAGTGATAGCTCTTTTGTTTCCTCCAGCACTCTGAGAGCCAATCGCGGTGATTTCCAGAGTCCAGTTACCTTAATGGAGAAACAAAAGTACCAGCAGGCTGTAAAGCTTGAAATTCAAGTAGGCAGAGGTGACATGGAGCTCCAGTGGGCAGGCTGCCTCTGTGGCTCAGGAGCTGCTGCTTTCAAGCTGGTTCAGATTTCATCCATAGGAAGAGGAGGAGGAGGAGGCCTCTGGGGAAGAGGTTTAATCAGAACTGAGCAGCTGAGGTTGTTGCTGGCATCAGGGTAGTGTGACTAGGTCCATAAATCTAGCAGGGTGTCTGCATTTCCCCAAAGACTCAGAATAATGTTCCTACCCACCTTAGTGATAGAATCATAGAATTGTAGAATTGGAAGGGACCACAGGGGTCATCTGGTCCAACCCCCTGCAAGGCAGGAATCTTTTACCCGATGTGGGGCTCAAACCCACAACCCCGGGATTAAGAGTCTCATGCTCTACCAAGTGAGCTGTCCCTGCTGTCACAATATAGGCTTTGTTACTTTGGAACATAGAAGCTACCTTGTACTTTTAAAATGCTTTTTATTGAGGTATAACAGACAGGTATAAACAAACAGTACAAAGACGCAAGTCTGCAGCTTTTACAAAGGAAGCTGCCTTTTATAATACCTTGGTATTGTCTACAAGGACTGGCAATAGCTCACTGGGGTTTCAGACAGGGAAGATTCGTAGCCCTACTGTGAGATAACAGGGATTAAACCTGGAACCTTCTGAATGCAAAACTGGTGCTCCACCATTGAATTACAGGCTTGCCCCCCCTCCCCCAAATTATTGGTATTAATGAAATGTCGTCAGGCTGCCTTGATGCTCCAGGGAGATCTATCCTTTGCCACTAAAAATGGGTGCAGAGACTGAATGTAGAATTGTGTCCTGAACAAGTGTACAGAATTTCATTATTATTGTCAAATTCAGTTAGATATAAAGCAAGCAAATGGGGTGCCAGTTTGGTGCATTAAGCCAAATTCAATGATACTGAGCCCCTTTCTGGTGTTGTTCTCCTTTTGCAATGAGAATAAGAGCAGATATGTGCTTGCTAGCTCTGACCCCTCTGTTGTGTTCTCCTCACTTCGCCTCCTTCCTGCTGAGCTCATGGTGGCTCCCCGTACAGTTTTGGAACCCCGCAAGATCAGGGAGTCGGTGGGCAGGATTCAACTAAGTTGTTGTGTGCACGGAATGACGTCTGCTCACACAATCCTTTCTCTCCTCTCCCACACCCCTGAAATCTGCTCTGGAGATTTGGGGGAACCCGCAAAAGAAATTTTGGGGGTTGATGGGAGAGGAGAGTGGAGAAAAGTCTTGTTGCACGAGATACCTTTGTTTTATGCATGCAAACCCCACTTAGCTCTGTACTGAATTCCACCCATTGCAAGTAGAGCAGGGTCCCAACTGCAGAAGCTCTTCTTAAACCCACAGAGGGCTATGTCAGGATCACGATGGATGGGGTGGACCCAGCAAATGCAGCCCCTCTTTTCTCCTCCAGTGCAGCTGGAATCACACGAGAGGGAAAGAGTGAGCAGGGTTTTTGTGCGTCTTAGTCTTGCTGGTTTTTTTTTTTAAATAGGCCATCTTCATTCAGACTTTGCCAGAAATGGGAGAAGAGCGCCTTGTCTTCCATATTTTGTTCCAAAGTAAATATCCCACCCTGTTACGGTGGCTTAGCTTCAGTTTTGGAAGCAGCTTTTGAACACTTGCTCAGACTTTTGTCACTTTATTCAGTTAGGGGAGGTTGATCTGAATTGTAGTAGGGCTCATGCAGCCACATGGGTTTCTATTTTTGGCTTTGGGTTGAGTTACAGCAAAGCCCTCTGGTGTAATGGCCTTGCCGGTCCTGGGAGAATGACAGGGCTTGGATGACTTCAGTCTCCTTGACTTGGTGCAGTTGGGAAAGGGTTGCTGCGGATTAGACTAACAGGGTTAGCTTGCACTGCGAAAAAGGCAGAGCTTGAAATTCAGTTCTTTAGAATGAAAATGCCCCCATGACAGACTGCCAGTGACAGTTATTCAGTCAAACTAAGCCTAGTTGGGCCTAAGTTAGATTGCAGTCAAAGGAATAAATTGACTTGGTTTTACTCATTTGTTCCCAATACTTATGGACCACTTTTCACCATAATATTTATTATTACCATTACCATTATTAATTAGATTTATATACTGCACTTCATGAAAAGATCTCATAGATGGTCACACTGCACTTTACAGAACAAATTTATATTTATTTATGGCATTTCTCCCCCACCTTTTTCTCCAAGGAATACGTGGTTCACCCCTTTCTTCAGTTAAGCCCTAAAATGACCATGTGAGGTAGGTTAAGAGGCAGTGACTGGCCCAGAGTCACCCAGTGCAGTGAGCTTCGTGGCAGAGTTTGTATTGGAACCCTGGACTCTCAAGTTCTATTCTAACACTCGAGCCACTATACCACACTGTCTCTCAATTAATAAGGTAATCAATCCATGCAAATAATATGGTGTTTAAAACATAAAACGCAAAGCTAAAGGTCAAAGTGTGTGTATGCCTGACTTATATGTTTGGCAAGCATTTTCCTTTGGCCTTGCTTTAATTAACAATATTGCTCATAATGTGATTATTTTGAAATAGCTGGCCTGACCACACCACCTAGTTGTTCTTTTTCATCCTTAAAAAGATAAAATACTTATTCAGGATATAATTAGCTTGCTTTTCAATTTTTTAAAGAATCCCAGAATGAATAGCAAAAAGTAAAGGCACCTAGCTTTATAAAACACCTAAAAAAAAATACTTCAAATGACATCATAAAAACAGCAGAATGAGACAGGCTAAGAAATCTAATACCCCAGCAGCAACAGAAAAACCCAATGCATGTTAAAACAGAGGAATCAGAACTACCCAAAATTCCAAGGCAAATGGACTTGGCACACAAAACTTAATAGTGAGGATGTCAGGTGAGTCTTCCTGGGGAGAGTATTTTCCATGAATGAGTCGTCACCACTAAAAGGCCCTTTCGCTGTTCTGTCTCTGCTCTGCAGGCAGGGAAACTTGGAGGAGAGTGTCTGATGCAGATCTTATTTCTCAAGCAGGTTTGCATAGCAAAAGGTGGTCATTAAATTCTACTTCGGGCCTCTGATTTCTCTTCAGTAATAAAGAAGGGATCAGCAGTAGCAGCTGAGACCCAGATTTTAGGGACTTACTGAGACAGCTTTCCCTAATTCTTGGCCGCTGCATAATAATTGCCTGCAGCGTCTGCTTGGAGCAGAGAGAGGGTCCTTTAGGACCAGCCTGAGTTAGGGACCCTTTCTCCAGGGGCCATTCCAGGGTGAACTGTGACCAAGTTTGAAGGAAGAAGTTGAGGCTTCTTCCTTCAAACAGTGAGTAGTGAGACAGAGATGAAGATGATTTATTAAGTTTATTGGTCACTTGCCAAAGGCAACTCAAAGCAACTTACATCCAAACAACCAAAACCCTACATAGATCCATTCACCCATTAAGGTAATACATTTAAAAAATCCCACCCTGTCCAATGGCCACAGATAGAGGTGGGAGACCCGTTGGATAATCTTTAGACTATCTTTAAGTAAATCTTTTTGCAAGGGTGACAATTGTTTCTGTGGGAAGGCTGTTAGGTAAAATGCATAATACTGATAATATGCAGGGACTTTTCCTGTCCTAAGGGAAGAAGTATTAAGTAATGCATGTCATTGGTGTGGGCTGTCAAACAGGTCGCGGAAACCAAGTCTGATGGAGAGCATAAGTCTGGATTCTGAAAGATAATCTAAAAGTTTATGCTCTGATGGGTGCCAGTTCTGGTTGTTAAAAGAAAATGGCAGCTGTGGTCTGGCATCATTTTCAGGAAGGGATATGTTCTTCCTTGCCTGCTGTAGAATAGTTTATTGATGTATAGTCCTCTTTCTGCAAATCAGAGTGTTATTTTTTAGAAGTGAGGACCAAATTGTATGTTCTGCGATTGAGGTGTCAGTATCCCACTCCCCCTTTTAATGCTACGCAGGCTTGTGGGGGGCTGGGTGGAGGCTGCAAGCTTGATAGCAGTGGTGAAAAACAGCCTGCAGGGCAAGGGTTAAGCACTCTCTTCTGCACTCCCCCCCATTACTACAGAACAGTACAGTCAAATTCCCAGCTGCATTTGAGTAAAAAATAAAAATGGATTGTATCCAGATCTGTTCATCCTTCCATGGAAGGTCCTTTGATTCAGCAGAGGCTTCTATGACAGCAAGGGGAAGAAACAATTTCCCCCTTCTGCAGCTCCTCAGACCCCTACTCCATTCTGCAGGGTCCCCCCAACCCTCTGGATCAGAGGTTCCAGGGCTTCAGAGAGGAAGGGAGATTTGCAACAGCCACCTTGTTATGCTCTCCTTTCTGCAGAAGCCTCCCCAGCATCAAAGAGCCTTTTGTGAATAGGAGGAGTCAGCCTCGTGTCAGGAGATTTCCATTGCCAGGAAAGTTCTGGTCCAGAACATCTGGAGAGCACGAGATTCGTGAAGGCTGCTGGGACACACCTGCTGGTTCCTTTTTTTAAAAAACGTAAACTTAATGAAGATATGAAAATGGAATACAGTAAGCCTGTGACTTAGGCACATTTAACTTGTGCGCATTCAGCTTTATGCAATTGAAGGGGGTGAGTGTCAGGGAAAAAAGACTTTGGCAGTCCTACCTACCCAATGTGTTTTGACTATACACGATTTTGGGTTTAGGCGCGATCTCCAGAACATAACCGTTGCTCAAGTTGTGGGCTTAATGTACCGTAAAGAAATAACAATGAACCCACCCACCCCCACTTCTTGCCTGCTCCTTGAAACAGGAACCCTAATGCTTGATGTGAACAGAACACTAGGAAGGTGATGGGGGGCGGGGATCCTGCCATGGAAATGTTCTTGCAGTGGAACCAGTCATGAATTGGAGGTTTGCACTCCCAAGTTCCTCGCTGCTCTTGTCCTCCTTTGAGGGAGTTGACGTGTAGTTCTTTTCTTCCTTAACACGAGAACCTCAGCTGATGGAGGGGACGTCTCAGTCTTCCCCCAGAAACAATTCCCCTGAAGTCATCGCTGGACATCGTTCAGTCCGCCTGGCAGGAGACGCCTATAGCCGTTATAAACTAATGCCGTGATTTACCTCTTCGGCAGCAAGGGGTTGTTTAATTTTACCAAATTAGCAGTTAAGGGAGGAGGTTCCTGGGGCGCCTGTCCAAAGTGGCTGGACTCTGTTCTTAAGGAGCCATCTTGCTTGCCAAGCCTTGGGCTGCAGACGCCTCCTCCCCACCCCAAGCACCCTCCTTTGGCAGAGTTGGAGCTTGCGATATAAATGCTGGATTGGCTGCCTCTCAGGCTGTGTTCTCTCCCCCCCTCAACGCCTGCTTCTTTTTTGTTCTGCACTTTGTAACTTGCCTGTGGCAGAGCCCGTTTTTTGTTTTTTTTTGTCTGCGGGGTGAGCGTTCCAGGTTCAGCTGAAGGTTGCGGGCTGCAAAAATCCATCCTCGTGTGTTGGTAAACAATATGACACAAGATACTGTTCTGCCTCTCTGCATCCCTGTGGAACTTGATGCTGACAAGGCAGAAAACCTCCTCTGGAGGGCATTGGGATAATAAGGGTTCATTCAGGATGCCAGGCCAGATGCGATGGGTCTCTCCTTTCTGCGGGCAGGGCAGAGGAGGCTGGCTGTTAGACTGAATTATCGTTCGCTGCTTGGATGGTTTTGCGGGAAAACGGCCAAGCCTTATTTTAAAGGGAATAAAGTCAAAGACCCCTGTGTACATTGGCTTCCCAAGTCTTGTTTGTGCTTTGAAGGAAATTTTGTGCTTTATTTAGTGAAGAAGCCCAACTCATGGATTTGAATTCTCTTCGAACAGTGTTTACCAGTTATTTCTCCCAGTTTGGCTTGTTGGGAGCACAACAGAACTTTGGGGCACACAGATCTTTGGAGCGCAGAAGTCACAGCAATATTAATATTTATAGCTGCCCATCAATAAGTATTTCTTGACTAGCTTACAAAAGGAGACTGTTGGAAGGCTACGGGATACAGTAATTAAAATCGGGCCTTTTTGCTTTCTTTTTATATACAAACTGGACTGATTCTGTGAGGCAGTAACTTGATTCGGAGCAGGGATGTGTCTAAAACTTGGCTGCTCTGTGGAAAGTGAGCCTGCCATGGCCCCAGCTTAAATGCTTGATTTAAGACCGTGGCAAGTCTAGATGCTGGCAGAAAGCCCAGGTAGAAGATAGTAGTTATCCAAGAGGTGAATTGTATTTGGTTCCATCTTTTGACAAGCTAGGATTACTATTAAGAGGAACAAACGTTTCTCCTCTGCCAAAAGAGACCTAAGGCAGACTTCCCCAGCCTTGCGCCCCCCAGATGTGTTTGGGCTATTCACATCTGCCCCAGCCAGCATAGATGGCTGTGTTGCCTGGAGATGGTGGGTGAAACATCTGGATGACATCAAGTTGCAGAAGGTTTCATGAGGGGTTACTTAGTGTTCACCCTAGACAGCTTTGTTCCAGAAACCAAGAGGTGTGGAAAATCACACTTTGTGTCGTCCGGCAGGCAGCTTTGATACATCCAAGTCTGACTAATCAGAGGCTCACGGTGCGTTCGTGGACAGATCGTAATGTTAAGAGAGCTTGGTGGCTGAATCAGCATCCTCTTTTCAACATGGCTAACAGATGCCTGTGGGAAGCCTGCAAGCATATTAACAGATCCGGCCCCTGCAATCATCATCATCTGAGGTCCTTCTTCATGTGCTTCCTCCATGAGAGGTCTGGAGGGCAGCAACATGAGAATAGGCCTTATCTGTGGTGGCTCCCCACTTGTGGAATACCCTCCCTAGGGAGGCTCGCTTGGCGCCTTCATTACATATCTTTAGGCTCCAGGTGAAAATGTTTCTCTATAACCAGGCCTCTGGCTGATCAACATTCTATGTAGCTTTATAAATATGTTTGTGGGAGGGAGTTATTGGTTTGTTTTTGTTTTATTATGTATCTTGTGTTCTCTTTTTGTATTTTTATGTAGAGAACCGCCCTGTGATCTTCAGATGAAGGGGTGTATACAAATTTTACTAATGTTAATAAGCAGAATGTGAGTGCAACAGCAAGTTTCACAACTAGTGATTCTCAGGAATTGGTATAAATGAGCTTGGTGAAGTTGGTGGCCATTATTAAGGGGCATTATTGACCTTTACAACCATTTCTCTAGGACGGTGATTCATACAGAGTAAAGTTGAGAGCTTGCACCTGCCAAAATCCCAGGCTGAAGGGAAGCAAGTGGCAAGTTGTTCCAGTTTTAGTATATCTGCTGTGATAGTGAGCACCTTTCAGCTTAGTTTTGAGACCTCTGTCATGCTGTCTGTTCTAGTTTCCACTAGCCTTTATTGGCATAAGAAGGTGTCTTTTCTATTCAGAGACTGTGTGCAGAACCCCTCTGTTCCAGTTGGGTTATGGGGTGCTCTCTGTGTATATGTTGGGGGGGCAAACAAAGGTTCATTTCAACTAACCTTGATTTTCCTGCATACCTGTGGAGGTCTCTGCCCTTTTCTGCTCTCCTTGCTCAATATCGGGAATGATTTGGCCAAGGTGAAGAAGCACCAGTTCCACTGAGCCATGCAGAATATAGGTTGTGTCTTCTGATCTCTGCTGACAGAAGCAGATGAGCTGTGATGTCAAGGTGGAAGGCCAAGTCTCGAGTGGTTCCCTGCTCCTCTCTCATCGAGAGTGTGCCGTCCCTGCTCTGCCCTCTGCCTTCTCTGTCTCTTTTTTTAAACTTTGCTTAAGCTGCTGAATGTAGAGCAGGCATGTTAGGAAATTTCCTATCATGAGAGCTGTGTGTGCGCGCGAGAAAGAGAGAGAAAGAGACAGACAGACAGAGATAGAAGAATGACGAGTTGGAAGGAATCAACTACACAGTAGAAATCACACCAGCACGTTTGTCCTGTGCAAAAAAATATGTTTGTTGACTCCCTGCCAAGAAAAATCCAAATTTTACCCCCCAGGCAGCTGAATTTTGTGATTGGGATTAAAAATGCACATTACATGAATCGTAACTAGCATTTTCCTGCAAAGTGCAATGAAGAACAGTGGGGTGCTTGGCCTGAGGGAGAGAGCCATAGCTTTGGGGGAGCTGTACCCTCCAGAAGCTCTGCTTAGTGCTGCTCTTAATTTCTGAGCTGGTGGTTTTCAGACATCAGTCCTGGGATCCCTGGGGTTTATCGATAATGAAAATCGGTAAGGGCTGCCAAAGTGTATATGCATGTGAAAGTCAGCACAGAGAGAATATTGGGTGTGGGGCTCAACTGGGCCTGTCTGGCTGCCAGTGCTGGCTGACAGCGTGTCCATGGAGTGGTTTGCGCCCATCAGTGTGGAAAGGGTTCGGAGAGGATAGAGCAGGATGCTTCAAAGCCACCAGATGCTGCCAATGCTATGTTCTGCAACCAGCTAGTTCTGCAACCAGGTAGTTCTGCAACCAGCTAGTTCTGCAACCAGGTAGTTCTGCTATGTTCTGCAACCAGCTAGTTTTTCAGCTAGTATCTTCGAGTGTTCGAAACTCATATGTATATCTAATCACCAAATGCTACCTTAAACCTAAGTTATGGTGGCCACAACGGAAGGTCTAGGTGCCATTTACCCCACAATGGAATTTATTATTGTTATTAATTTCATTTCTATACTGCTTTATATTTTAAAGGAAAAACCCGAGAGCAGTTAACAACACATTAAAATATCCAGTAAAACAAACCAGAATAACACAAATTCAAGCTTCAAGGAAAATATTTCAGATCCTTCTCTAAGTTACATTAGGCTTTCCTCATATTTATTTAACCTACTTAATTTATAGTGCTGCCCCATAGCAGAAGGACTCTAGGAGGGAAGTGTGGTCAAGTGGTTAGAGTGTCAGACAGGGACCTGGGAGATCAGGGTTCAATTCCCCACTCAGTCCTGAAGTTCACTAGGTCACCTTGGAGTCATTCGCAGCCTCTTCACCTGTCTCACAGGGTTGTTGTACGGATTAGATGAGGTGGGGGGTGAACCATGGACTCCTTGGCTATAAAGGTGGGAGATAAATGCAATAAATTAGCTCTTCTGCTGACCTGCTCAAGAAAGCTGGAGGGACCAGCCAGGTGGAGATGTTAATCGCCAGCCTTGCATCCAGAGATCTCCACCTGGTCACAATTGGATCAGTGGTCAGTTTCGCCAGTCACAAAACACTCACGACACCTGGTGGATTTCTAATACTGGCATTTGCCCCGAGCATGGCTTCACTTACAACCTCCAATGTGCTTGATTAACATTTAATTGCTTCTGTGACCCGCCCTCAGTGTCGCAACGCTGGGCACTTGCTGAAAAAATTCTGCTTGTGATGTGAGCGCATTCTAGCCTTGGCTGCTGCTTCTGCATGTCTGCTGACATGTAGCGTGGGCAGGGCTTTGTACTGCACCTCCACTTGGCGTTAAGTAAATGCGGATGGAGGTGGCAGGATGTGTTGGGTGGGGCTGTGTCTGGTGTTACCATCCGTGGAACCCATGTAGATAGCAAGATTGGCAGAACATTTGTTTGTTTGTTTGTTTGTTTGTTTGTTTGTTAGATTTGTATACCACCGTTGCAGACTAGCCCGAAAGTTGCTAGCAGATCTCAAGGTGGTTCACAAGATAAAATCACAATATAAAAACACAAAATATATAATCAAAATAAAACCTCCAAACAACCCATTTGTTTCATTCCTTGCTGAGTGTTGACTGGAGGTAGTGGCCACTCATAGCCGAGTTATCCAGGCACAACTTGGGTTAAATGGGTGTAGAGCTGCTTCTGTTGAACCCTTGGCTGTCCCATCCATATGGCTTTGCATTGGAAGCGCAGTTCCCATTAGCGGGTGGGTCTTCAAAGTTGCTAAATTCGAACTTTCTTTTAGTCTGCTTAAGCGTGGTTTTACCTGTTGCGTAGTTGAGTTAGAGACATCTGACTGCTGTGCGAAATGCTAAACCTTCTCTCTGATTACATCATTGTTTACTTGATTAGAAATAATTGTGCAAGTAATTAAATGGGTGTGCGCTCACTCTAGCCGGGTTTCACTTCTGTGCGATGAAGAGCTCCATGCTGTTGCAAAGTCTGGAGCGTTTCATTGCTTCGGCCTTCCTTAATGGGATACTATCTAGGCTATTACCTTAATTGAAGTTTATATTGAATGGTGCGCAAGAAGCCTCCTAGATCTGGATTAGTATCCTAATGACTCTCTTGTCTCTCGAGAGAGGGGAGGCTACGTGGCCAAAACAATCCTAGACAATGCAGTGACACGGATGATAAAGGAAGGCACTTTAGGTTGGTTAGGCTCCTCTGACAAACAAATTAGCAGGGTTATGTGTATTCTGAAACAAGAGCAAATTATTGGAAACTCTGCAACTGTTTCTTTTAAATATTTTATTTTGCAGATAAGCGGTTTGTGAGATCCAGGACACACTAAGGGATTATCTGCTTAAGGTAAGAGCTGCTTTTCGTTATAGGCACTGCATTGCCTATTTCAGTATCTGCAGGCTGTTCCAGCACCCGAAAGTTGCTAGCCCATCTTGCGCCTCTATTTTGCAGAAGTTGTTTGTTAGCCGACATATTTATATACTTCTTAATTATTCCCATTTCTGAGAGGTGTACAGACAGAGCAACCCACAGTAAAAAGGGGTAATGAGACAGTAAAAAATACATCATAAATTTCCTGCTGGAACAAGGAAGTCTTAGTCATGGGTCTGAAGTTTGGCAAGGAGGGGGCCTGTCTAATCTCAGTTGGGTGGGATGTTCATCACACTGACTGCACGGCTTCTAGTGACTACAGGCTGTGTATCTGGGCCATGAGGGGGGTCACCAAATATCTCACTGATCAAGCTGGGAACAAGGGGGTCCCTAAGATATTCTGGACCCATTTTAAGGCCTTGTAAATTAATGCAAGACCCTTGAACCTGGCCCACTAATCAAAGCTCCCTGCTAGAAGAAATGTTTTACTTGCCTTATAGGTAGCTGGACTGTACGTGCAATTGGTGCAGAACTATTCAAAATTCAGTAGGCAAAGACCAGAGAGTACTGGAGCTGGAGACTTAGCAGTGTAGCATTTTGGGGCTCATCTGGCCATCGCAGGAGTAGACAAAGATGAGGTCATTTTGCTACAGCATTTCAAGTGCTGACTTGGCGTGTGTAGGAGTCCCTTGGGGGAATCTTTGCCAATGAAATATGCCGCTACCTCACCCTTTCAGGGTTCGTTTGCCTTGAGTTGTCTTTGGGGCTTTCTGTCGCTTTGGATCTGTTCTTCCTAAGGGCCTCCTGAGCAATATTGGAAGCAAATCCATGTTTGTGTTAAGCAGTTTGCTTGCTTTGGTCCTTGGTGTAGAAATTTACTTGCACAGTTAATAGTTTTGTCACCTTGGTGCAGTATAGATAGGAGGGACATCTGTGCCACATATGTTCGAAGCAAAGCAGAAGAGCCAAATAGGGCACAGCACATCTGTTAATGATGCCTCTTACAGGCACTGCTTGCCGGAAATGAAAATGTTGCTGAGCGAGTCCACATGGAATCTAATTAGGAGAAAACCTCTTGGTAGAACTGGGTCCTCTTGCAGATCACAGGGCAGAGACACTTAACACCTCCATCTAAGAGGAGAGTCTGATGTAAAAGCCTTATTTCCTTTCCTTTCGCTTCTGCTGTTCTATAAAATGCTGTGTATGTAGTTGTTGCTGTTTAACCAAATCCGTTCACTGCAATATCTGCTGTGCAGAATCCCACAACATGTTATTCACCCCACCCCAGAAGGTACCACAAATGGCTTGTTATGCAGAATTGCCTGTGATAATTCTGTAAGTTGCTGAAGCCCTTGACTTTACTGGAAACTGTACTCAGCCAACCTTGCTGTTGCCTGAAATCTCACCAAGTGTTGGCCCAGGTGCTTTGAAGCCTGGGGGACTAGAAACTTGATTTCTAAGTGAAAGCTGCAACTCCCCAGATGACTCGTTTTTGTGCACATAGCTGGAATATGTTGTCCTGACTGTGATAATGCATCATTATACCTGCAGAGAGTAGCATAAGGAAAAACAGCATTGTGGGGAATTGTAAGCAGGAGTTTCGTTGCATTGTGGGGCCCTGTGGTTAGCAGCTGCAATGAGGCTTTCAAAGAGAAGTTAACTGCTTCACTGGGGTTGTTCCATGACAGATCACCACAAATTTTATGTGAGTTTGTGTTTTTGGTATCCACTTAAGTACTTTCATGAACTCACTGTTATTCCTCTAGGATCTTGACCTCTGTTAAAAGGGGGGGTGGGTTTACATTAGCCACAGCAGAACAGCCAATTTACCGCAACACAGCTCCTTTACAACACCTGTGCTACTGACTGTCAGACTTTGGTATTGTTGATTCAGGTAGGTAGCCGTGTTGGTCTGGCGTAGTCGAAATAAAAATAAAAAATAAAAAATTGTCTAGCAGCAACTTAGAGACCAACGAAAGCTTATACCCAGAACAAACTTATTTTTTAAATTTATTTTTTAAATTTATTTGGTATTGTTGAAATACATACAACAACAACAAATCCATTTTTTGTTGTGAGACTCAAACTGGGTTTGCTAGATGTGGCTTGTGGAGCCCCTCCAGGATCAGAGGCCTTGAAGTTTAAACTTCATTAGTTTCATAGTAGATCTGCCCCTGTGTGAATGTCCAGTGGTTATTAAGACATTTTGTACCCCCTCTCAATCAGTCAGAGCAAAGTGCAACCCCATGTAACCCCTCCCCCCCCGGATATTTCAGTGAAACTGGCCTGTTTCTGAATCAGATCATAGTGGATATAATTGGTAAGTAGCCATAACGCACAGAGCAATCCTCCTTTTAAGGATTGCTGTCTCTTGAATGAGTGGGGCAACGCCAAAGCAACATGCTGGCGAGAGCCTTCGCTACAAGAGGAGCAATTCTCACCTGCACACTTGACGTCTGCGGCCCCTTTGAGAGAAGGGAGGCTCCCCTGCCTTATGACCCTGCCCAGATCTAGGATTTAGCTCATTGAAAATCCTCCCAGGATCCTCTCTTAAGAATCAAGATTGTGTGACTATTTGGAGCCTCCTCATTCCTCCACCCCTTCGCTAGCTAAAGAAGGAATTAAAACAGAACATACGCAGAAGAAAGCAAGAATCACAACTCTTTGCATTGTACCTCCTTGGTCTGCGCAAAAGTTTCTGGGGGCTCATAGGAAACCTCTCTGAGTGGGTGAAGCCCATTTTAGTTTTTTCGCACCATGTCAGGGATCCGTCATTTGGATGGATGAAAAGGAAAGCTGTTATAACTATCAAATTGCATCTTCATCATTTTTATTATTATTATTATTATTATTACTGCCCTCCACCCCACCCAAGGTCCCAGGGGTGGGTTACAGCATTAAAACACAAGATCAGAAACTGTTTAAAACAACTTGCAGTTGTAGAAGTAAGGTGGATCCTAAAAACATATACCTAAAGTGTCAAAAGAACAGGGCAGGAGCCTTCTGTCAAGTGCAGCCTCCTGCTCCCCACAGTGACCAGCCCACAGGCCAGATGAAGTAGGCAACTGCTCTTCCCCACTGTCTGTCCTTGAGGAACTGGTATTCAGGTATGCTGCCTCTGGACATGGAGGTTTCATTTAGCTAATGACCTGCCCTTCACCTTAATATTCTAGGGTGGTGTGAAGTACAGCATTAAAAACAGTTTAAAGCAAGCTGCAGTCACAAGAATAGGCTGGGCGCTTAGAATACGTGTCAAAGGCTAGGGTAAATACCGTATTTTTTGCTCTATAAGATGCACCAGACCACAAGACTCACCTAGTTTTTGGAGGAGGAAAACAAGAAAAAAAATATTCTGAATCTCAGAAGCCAGAACAGCAAGAGGGATCGCTGCGCAGCGAAAGCAGCAATCCGTCTTGCTGTTCTGGCTTCTGGGATAGCTGCGCAGCCTGCATTTGCTCCATAAGACTCACACACATTTCCCCTTACTTTTTAGGAGGGAAAAAGTGAGTCTTATAGAGCAAAAAATACGGTAGGTACATCTTCAGCATATAATGAAAACTGTATAATGCAGGTGTCAGACACACCTCTGGGGGAAGGAGTTCATAGGGTCATCTAGTCCAACCCCCTGCAATGTAGGAATCTTTTGCCCAATATGGAGCTTGAATCCACAACCCTGAGATTAAGAGTTTCCTGCTGCACCGACTGAGCTAGCCATAGCTTGTGTGTTAAGAAATAACTTCCAACTCTGATTCCTGGCAGTCGAAAGCTGGCAGGGTAGCATGAGTGGCAGGTACGCCCATGCACCTTGTGATGAGATTGCCCTGTTTTATTTCACATGCAAAGGAGTGGATCAGAGCTTTTGCTCCTTGCAAATAATCCCTTTTGAAAACAGAGGAGGGCCCATGTGAACCCCCTCCATCTGCTTAGCGCAGCTGTCCTAGTTGACCATGCTGAATTGAAAGAGAGCACCGTGTGTGTGTGTGTGTGTGTGTGTGTGTTCACACCGCCATGCCAAAAGCCCCTGAAATCTTGTTGGGTGGGGCCACTTTCCTGGATACTCCTAAAATATGGAGTCTGCTGCTGTTTTTCTATTCCAGCCACATCCAGGGAGGGGGGAATGAGAGGAGGCAGAAGTTTAATCTGGGTCCCTCTGATTGATGATAAAAACCGTAGTCCCATTACGGAAATGGCTTTTGGCTAATACGCTATTCCCTGGCTTTGCTTTTAGTTCAATGGAAGCTGCTTTCCTTTTTGATGCCTGTACTATTAAAGGAAAGCAGCTGATGGGAACAGCTGCTGGCCACCCCTTTTCGGTTCGTGGCTTAGCAGGCTATCTACGGAACAGAATGAAAGTGCTTTATTAACATCAAGGGTTTGTGTGTGTGTTGTTTTGTTTCTGTAAAAAGAGAGGAAAATCCCCGTTAGTTTCTCTTCCCTAGAGAATATCCTTATCAGAAAGTGAAAAGAAAAACAAGGGAAGACACCATCCAATGCCAAAGCATTAAGCCCTCTTTTATCAAGTTTCTTCATGTTTTGGGAAGGTTGCATTGATCTGCAGAATGCAAACTTAGCAGCTGGTTCTTGGTGCAGTGAAATATTTACTGGAATATCTATACAGCCATCCAAAGAAAGACTTGAGTGCTTTTGCCTTGATAGGAAGTAGTAGAGGAAGAAGAAACTTAAGAGGACGTTAAGGACTGCTTGCTTGGGGACCTCCAGATAAGCCACTTTTATAGCAGAATCCCCTTTTCTAGGGAGTTCAAAATGGTGGTTGAGGTGGGGTTACTCTGGCACGGGAATGTAGAGGAAGGACGAAAGTGCTCATTCTCGCTGAACTCTTTTGGGTGGGTGTGGGATTTACATAGGCTCTAAACAGCTGGCACTGTGTCCACGTGAATGGCTAGCTGACAACGTGAAGCTTTAGGGGTGACACAGCCAGCTAATTTTTTTTTATAGCAAGAGTCAAGTAAGTTAAAAGTTCATCTCCATTCAGCTTTTTCTCCTTTCATGGCTTTTGTTTAGGTGTCAAACAAAACCCTGAACTCAGGGCTTTTCTTTTTCCAGTTCTTCTGTGCCAGCTTTATTGGAGGGGGGTGAGAAACATGCCAGCTTCACACAGGGCTGTGTAAAAACATCAGATTTCTAGGTACTATAGCATGCCATTTCTAGAAGCCATTTCCAGGCTGTACTGCTTGCAAATTGGCACGTTCACGAAAACATTTTGCCGGTTGCTTCACAAAACCTAAAATGTGAAATGGACATACCCCCTTTTAGCTCGGACAGGTTTGCTTTGTTGTCTAGTGCCCATCAGGAACTTCATATTGCATCTTGATGAGAGTGCTCTTTGAAAGCCTCATTTATCTTAAAACATTTTGTGTGTGCTGACTTCCTTGGAAACGCACAATATTCAAAACCACATTGTAGAAATAATTTTAAAATCTGCTTGTGACAGCTAGCTAAACAGCCACATGTGTGTTCTGGAAACAACACGGGCAGGTTTCCTGCAGCGAAGGGGGACTTGTCTCTTGACACACAAGATTTGTGCTGGGGTTGGTTTGCCTTTGCCAACCTCGTCCTCGTACCATTGTACTGTGGAGAGTGTATTAACTTACGGTCTGTGTGTGTGATTTGGGAGCTGCACTGCCAGGGGAAAAACAATGCTGTCCAGGGTTGTAAAGACTGCAGAGAGAATAATTGGGTGCACACTTCCCACCTTGGATCAAATCTATGCTGTCAGGTGCCATAAGAAAGATGCAGAGATAGCGCAGGATAGTGCGCACTCCAGAAATGATCTCTTTCAGCTTCTGCCTTCTGGAAGAAGGTCCAGGGTTATAAAGACTAGGACTAGCCGCCTGAGAAACAGATTCTACCCAAATGCAATTCTGGTTCTAAATGCAGTATAAGGAGTCTCTATAGTATATTGTATTTTAAAATGGGGTTTCAGAGTTTTTAGGGGTTTTTGAATTTCTTATGTAGATTTTTCAATTTCATTGCTCTGTATGGGACAATGACAATAAAGATATCTTATCGTATCGTTTCCATTTCGTGTTGACTGGGGTCGATTGGAGCTGTAGTCCAAAGCATCCCGAGGCTGCCAGGTAGAGGAAGCCTGACTCTAGGGGTGGAGCACTTTAAAAAGACTTGAGTCAAAGTATTTCAGGGTCATTAATAAAAGCCCTAGAAGGAAGCGGAAGGGGGTGCCTTCCCAGGCATCTGGAACAGAGGAAATGGTTCTGAGCCTTGGTGGCATGAGGAAACAATAGCGTTTCCAGCTGTAGCTCTGTCAAAAGCTTCTCCCTATGGGCTTAAAACTACAGCTGCATTAAATGGAGAAAACATATTTCTTTTAACAATAAGCCCTTGTTGGGGGAGGGGGGTGTCTTGCATGGGGATCCTGGTCTGTCCTTGGATGTGGTAAAAACTCCTGGTTTTGAAGAGTTTCACGTTCTCAGAAAAAGTCCGCAAGTTTTCACCCGGGCGGTGTGAGCTCTGGACTTAAATAAATAAATAATTTTCCCCAGCAAGAATAGTAAGTTGTGGCAGGCATAAAAAATGCAAACTGAGCTAACTTGCAAAACCCTGATTTATAGTCCTAGGGACGGCATAAGGACCTATCCTTGGAGTTGGTCGCCTGTCCTCTTCAAGCAGGCCTCCTTCTGATTAATATTCTACAGCCTTTTAAATGTGTCTGTGGGAAGGTGGGGTTATTGTTTTGCTGTTTTGGTTTAACTATTTACTTGTGTTTTATCTTGTATTTTATTCGGTGAACCGCCCTTGAGATCTTTTCTCAGCACCAGTTTTAAACTGTTTTATCTTCCCTGGCATTTTAAATGTCTATTTTGTTTGCCTTATATTTTGAATTTCTGTTACTGCCTTGTTTTGCTAAGTCATTATGAATATTGATGATGTTGGACTACAGCTCCCATCATCCCTGACCATTGGCAGTGCTGGCTGCAGCTAATGGGAGTTTTTCTGGTCCAGCAACATTGGACTGGTCACAGATTAGCCAAGTCTTGCTTTACTGTTTGATTGCATTTGTAGCTGGCATGAATGCTTTTATTCGTGCCCCTTGTGCACTGCCCTGGAATTCATTTTGACAAAGTTTGGTCCATAAACAAACAAAAACAAACCAACAAACAAACGGGCCTAAAGGCTGTCCTCAAACCATGTAGATCTTATATAGGTTTGCATCCAAAGTAGCTCAAAGTTAAAGGCGCTTAGGACCCTGGGAAGCTAGTTTTATGGAATTAGGCCAATCTAGCTCAGTATTAAGGGACGCGGGTAGCGCTGTGGGTTAAATCACAGAGCCTAGGTTCGAATCCCCGCGACGGGGTGAGCTCCTGTTGCTCGGTCCCAGCTCCTGCCAACCTAGCAGTTCAAAAGCACGTCAAAGTGCAAGTAGATCAATAGGTACCGCTCCGGCAGGAAGGTAAACGGCGTTTCCATGCGCTGCTCTGTTTCGCTAGAAGCGGCTTCGTCATGCTGGCCACATGACCTGGAAGCTGTACGCCGGCTCCCTCGGCCAATAAAGCAAGATGAGTGCCGCAACCCCAGAGTCAGCTACGACTGGACCTAATGGTCAGGGGTCCCTTTACCTTTACCTTTAGCTCAGTATTGTTTACACCGACTGGCAATGGCTCTCCAGGGTTTCAGACCAGGAGTCTTTCCCATACCTGCCTGGAGATGCTGTTGAGGATTGAACCTACAAAGCAGATGCTCTACCCCTGAGCTACAGCCCTAACCTCTGGGGCTTCCTAGACTTCAGCAAGTGTTACCCTCACATGCTTTGTTCAATCATAAAGAGGGATAGAAACCTCCTTGAACATAAACTGTAAGCTGACATTGTCATGAAGATGAAATCTGCACCTGACACCGTGTTCTGCACTCCTGTGGAATTGAAACACACAGTTACAGTCTGGGCCATTTGTAAATTGTGTGTGTGTGTGTGTGTGTGTGTGTACACACACACACACACACCGTATTTTTCGCCCTATAGGATGCACTTTTCCCCCTCCAAAAATGAAGGGGAAGTGTGTGTGCGTCCTATGGGGCGAATGCAGGCTTTCGCTGAAGCCTAGAGAGCGAGAGGGGTCGGTGCACCTGCATGCCGAAGTTGCCTGCATGCCGAAGCCTGGGCGCGCTGAGCTCAGTGCGCCCAGGCTTCAAGCTTCGCGCAGCTCTCTGCAAGCGGTGGGAGCCCGGTGCTGGGCTCCCACGGCTTGCAGAGAGCTGCCTGTTCTGGGGGCTGGGGTCGGGGGAAGCTCTGGCTTCCCCCGCCCCAGACCCACGCCTGGGGGAAAAATAATTTCCCCCCCTTTACTTCCCCCCCAAAAAACTAGGTGCGCCTTATGGGCCGGTGCGTCCTATGGGGCGAAAAATACGGTACATATTTTAAAGTAAAGCACATGGCAAACTAAGACCCATAGGACTTGGGACTCTCAAAGGGCCATCTTAAATTCTCCTTCCTCCTTGTTGCTGATTCAAAAGGCAGGAGCAAATAATATTGAGCTGGAATGATAATCAGGTAATTTCCCCACTTAGTTTTGCTTACAAACATTACAGAAGAAGCATGGGAGCACCTGAATGATAGGCATGGTGAACAGCTGCTGCTAAACAACTTTCCAACCCCTAACCCTCCAATATGCTTTTTATTTCTTAAAGTCTTTTTCTGCAATGAAGCTCTTTCAGTTGCGGGTATGGCTTCATCCAAGCATGTCT